AATCTAAAATCTTACAATTTAATTTTAAAATACTAAACATACAAAATTATGATAAAATAATCCTATAACATCAGAGGTTTGATGGGTAAATTTGGAGGGGTCTGCATAATTCAGGGAGCTGTGAAAACAGCACTGAGCATGTGAGAGTGAGCAAAGGTTAGAGCGCTCACAAAAAAATAAAGGCAGTACAACACTACCACCTGCTGCCCTTAACCCATACTGCAAGCATCTCTGCAACAGACTGCATACTGACCATTGTTTAAAACCTACAGTGCCTTGCAAAAGTATTCACCTGTTACACCTGTTAATGTCCTGTTACAATGAATTACAAAATAATGTATACAAATATTACAAAGTATTATTCTTAATAAACTTGAAAAATAAAACTGCACAGTTTGATGGGAAAAATAAATTAAATGTCAGCAAAAACTGCAAAGAAAGATCAAACATGAAAATGTTCATAGGGGATCACATAATTTCAGACACCCTCTGTAAGGTCCCTCAGTAAGATAGTAAAGTCAAATAAGAAATTCAGCCTTAAAGAACAAAGCTCTTTGAAAACAACTCTAGGACAAAGCATAATGGCACAGCTTAGAAGAGAGGGAGGTATAAAAACAATTCAGTCAGAGAATAACCTTTTGAACATTGTTAAATTTCAAGTGAAATTGATCATTAAGAGGAACGTGTACTGTACCATCCAGACACTGCCCTTTTCAAGCTGTCCCTCCAAACTGAGCGACTAGAAAATGAGGAGTCTTATCAAGGAGTTCAGTGGTTAAGATTGGAAAAGATGTCCAACAAAATCCTGGTTACTCAAATTCCTCATGGGGTTTGTAACAGATCACTTAAGTGAAATTGTAAACAAGGCAAGCCAAAATTGGAACTTATTGGTCTAATAAGGTACTTCTACCATGAATTGACATCAACATATTTGAATCCAGGTGGTGTTTTTCTGGATTAAGCATTCATTGTATTGGAAGCAGCACTTGTCTGAATACAATGATACAATAGAGTCTGCTAGATCCAACTACTTCTCCCACATTATTGAGATCAACCACAACAACCCTAGAAACCTATACTCCACCAACAGATTGCTTAAGCCAAACTGCCCCACCACATCATGCTAACTTTGCAACACACTTTTAGAGTTCTTTAGCTCTAAGATCCACAACATATGGCATCACATTCTCTCTACAATGCATGTTATCTCCACACCTTCTCCCTGCTTGCCTAGTTTTAATGGCTCCCTTCTCTCTAGCTTCTCTCTACTTGACTCTGCATGCCTAAGTAAACTTGTTTCACATATGAATTCCACCGCCTACCAACTAGATCCCATTACTACTTCATGTCTACCCTGTTTCACCTCTTTCTGCTTTGGAACATCCTGAACATGCCGAGATGGTTACAAAAACCATCTCATTGCAAATAAGCTCTTTGAACCCCTCCAAACTGGATTCTAACAATTACACAGGTTTTAGTTTTGAAATTGGACTGGTCTGGTCTGCTGGTGTTCCTCAGGGCTCAATACTGGATCCCCTAATCTTCAGCATCTACATGTTCCCACTTGGTCAGCTATTAAGATCACATGGTCAAATTATCATTTTAAAGTTGAATATCATATATTCTCATGCTCACCTATAAAGCTCTGCATGGATTAGCATCTCAGTACCATCTGAGTTACTATCATCCTACTTCCCACCTTGCAACCTTCATTCATCTAATTTCGGGCCCTGTCTGTCCCCCAAGCCCATCCACACTGTATTGGTGATGGTCTTCTCCTGTTATGCCTCAAAGATATGTAATTCCATCCCTAAGGATATCAGAGAGTCATCCTCTCTTTCAAAACTTTCTTTCTTAGAAGGGCTTTTATTTAACTGTTCCTTTGTTTGCCCCTCTGCGTTCCCCATGATTGGAATATGTTTCCATGGCACTCTACATTTGATTGTGGTAAATTTGTTCTTGAAATTATATGTACTTTAGAAGGCCATATCTCAAATGAATAAAGCTTAATTGGCTCCTTTAAAGGTTTCTCTTTGATCTTGTCAGCATATTTTAAAACTAGATAAGTAACCTCAAAGAGCCTGGTTCTAGTGAAGCAGATTATATACATATAATACACTGAATATTAAAAGAAACAGATCACTTTGTATTAAATATATCACTTTATACTTTTTACTTTTACACATTTGTTATATTAATTCAATGTCCTTTCAGAATTCCTCAAGACAGCAACCTGGTGCAAAGAATGCATTACTGATATACACCTTTTATGGCTCCCAATGATGGCTACACATGCTACTAGGCTGTGACCTTCACATTAGCCCCTGCTGATCAGTCTTATTGATGGCAAAGGTTATTCACAATAATAAATTTATTTATTTTATGTCTGTTCAATAAAATGTCAGTGCACCTGCTACAGAAAGATTTTGCAATTTTGCAATTCAAAACTTTTTGAATTAGCTGTGGTTAAAAATTACAAGTTTCTTTAGATGTTTGCATAAGCATAAACAGATAGATATACTTTATTTAAGGAGTTTGAAGGTCTTACTTGAATGCCAGCTCAAACACAGATCCACCACTGTCATTGCAAATAGCCAGCGTCGGGTCATCTGTAAACTAAAACAGAGTACAAAGTTTGTAAGTCTTCCAATCAAGATATCCTTCCTTTCATTAATTTACTAGACCAAGAAAAACTTAAGATTTTTCACAAGTAGTTGCTCAGGCCATAATGAATGAATGGATGCCCTATTCTCTATGACCGTGTCAGAACAGTTCAAATTGAGGTCTCAAAGGAATACCTAGCTAAGAACTGCACAGACTCACAAAACACCCGAACAACATCTCCCTGTATATGATTCATGTGCACTGTAAGCTCTCTTATGACTTTCGGGAGGCCAGAGAGACTGGAGCATTTAATAACTGTGGAGCATTTAGTAACAGGTGTGAGCCTGGTCAGTACCTGGATAAGAGACCTCCTGGGAAAAACTAAGGTTGCTGCTGAAAGAGGTGTTAGTGGGGCCAGTAGGGGGTGCTCACCCTGCAGTCTGTGTGGGTCCTAATGCCCCAGTATAGTGATAGGGACATTATACTCTAAAAAGGCACCATCCTTTGGATAAGATGTAAAACCAAGGTCTTGACTCTCTGGTGATATTAAAAATCCCAGGGCGATTCTCTAGAAGAGTAGGGGTGTAACCCCGGTGTCCTGGCCAAATTTCCTATTGGCCTTTACCAATCATGGCCTCCTAGTAATCCCCATCTATAAACTGGGTTCATCACTCTGTTCTCTTCATTGATAGCTGATGTGTGGTGAGCATAGTGGCACACTATGGCTGCTGCATATTGGTGGTGGTGGAGGACAGTCCCCATTATTTGTAAAGCACTTTGAGTGGAGTGTCCAGAAAAGTGCTACAGTATATAAGTGTAAGCTATTATTAATTAAGTATTATTAACTGCCACACATAAAAGGATTAGTTAAATATGTTGGAAATATAAATTACAAAATTATCTGTATGTACAATTTACACATATTGTATGTATCCATCCATCCATTTTGGAACTGCTTTTTCAAATACTGGATCGCAGGAGAGCCAGAGCCTCTCGGCAAGCAATGGATGCAAGGCTGCATTCTAGAGGGGAGCCAGTCCTTCACAGGGCACACAGACACAAACACAGACACACACACATTCACACCAGGCCCGTTTTCCCAGAAGCCAATTAAACTAGCAGGTTGTCCTTGAACTGTGAGAGGAAACCGAAGCACCTGAAGGAAACCCATGTGAACATGCGGAGAACATAGAAACTCCAGGCAGATAGCACCCCAAGGCAGGAGTTAAACCCAGGACCCCAGCACTGAGAGACAGTGATGCTAAACACTGCACCACTGTGCTGCCCCACAAAGGTATAAATATGCTTTTTTCTTTGATATGGCAAACACATTTCAGCAGTTAATAATGTACTGCAGGAGAAAAATTCAGATCTGTGATCTCTCATATATAGTGAAAATAATAAGTGCCGGGCTTTGTGGCATTGTCTTTACATAGCTGAGAAGTTTGTGGACTGCGGCCAGAATGCAATAACCATTACAGCAGCCTGTATCCTTTGTAGTCAATGACATTTTATAAGCCTGTCTGCATTGTTAGCTTGTTTCCCACTTATAGTCCCAATAAATACAACTTCATTAAAGGAAGCAGGGCCTGGAAGTTAAGCAATTTTGAGTTACCTTGACATGAAGGACAGCAGTTCCTGGAGGGTGAGCATCTGTTATGGTCCTTAGCAGTTTCCCATTTGCCAGATCCCACATTGTCATCTGATTTCACAAAAAAATCAAAAACTGAAATCTGTGATTCATGCAACATTTTTGAAATATTTGACCACTTAAAAATAAAAATACATGTACCTTATTGTGTACTGGATTGTAGGTTTAAAGAATAGTAAGCAACATATCCAATCTGGCTCCAGCTGTAAATGTGATGCATTTGACATATACAGTATGGTGCCTTGCAAAACTATTCAGAGTAAAAGCATCTGGTCATAACACTTTGAAATAGCAATACTGTATATACATTTGTTATAAATATAACCTACTACAAACATCCAAAGCAAACGACTAAAAAAAAAAGAGATAAACAGACAATTTGTTTGTTTATGAAATGGAAAATTCATGATTGAATAAGCATTCAAATATTTTGCTGTGACACACGTAGATGAATTAAGGTAAAAAATGTGTCCTAAAACGGTCACACAATTAATTGTGAACTGTAAACTGTGTGCAACAGTAGTGGTTCTAATAATGAAATAGAAGGAATGCATCTATGTAAACTCCCTCAGTCAGGCAGTGAATTCCATACACAGATTCAGACATAAAACTACTTTAATACTCTGGGATATACAGTAGCACTATAAGGGGCTATAGGGAGCAAGGTATAGAAATATGTCTATAGACCCTTTATATCTCTTTCAGCATAGTTAAGTCAATTAATTAAGAAGTGAAAGGCACCCAGTCAGACTAGATCAAACGAAGCAGCTTGGCAAGGAGGAAAATGATTAGGAATGTCACTGTGAGAACAACAACGACTTTGAAAGAGTTACAGTGCTCCGTGAATGAGTTGGGATGAAATGTCCGTGGGTAAACAAAATCCCAACTATCCAAAAGTATAGAACTGAAAAAAAAACATCTCAAATCCCACATACAACAAAGCACCTAAGTGATAATGGAAACATGCGGCAAAAGGTTTTGTGGTCAGATAATACAAAACTTGAAGTCAGTCAACACTATCCCTATTGTCAAGCACAGTAATGGCAGCATTATGTTATATTTTAATTCTCATCAGCAGGGACTGGAATGTTTGTCAAGACTGATGGACACATAGCTGAAGCAAAATACTTTAAACTATTGGAGGAAAACCAGCTTCAGACCTAAAACCTAGAGAAAAATACACCACTTAGCAAGACAGTGATCCAAGTACGATGCTACAATGGAGTGGATTTAGAATAAAATTAAAAATTTAACATATTTAATATTTTTCTCTTTAGTTTTTGCTGATATCTACTTGTCTTGAAAAAAATTAAGCTTAAAAAATGTGTACACATCATTTTGTAATTTCCCAAAATGGGACACCACAGGAGGGCTCCAAAAACCTTGGCAAGGCACTGTATTCATATGTTTTCCTGGGCCGTAAGAGTATAGTGTGTTAAATGTTAAGTGTGTTTCTTGAACTTATCTCACAGGTGCACAACTCTAGACCTTGAGAGTCAGAATCCTGTAGGTTTTAAGGTCTCTTTAAAACATAAACAGACCTTTGCAAAAACTTAAACTGATCCACCCATTAAGAGCAGCAGTGGAATAAAACCCCACAGATGTGTACTCATCCAGGACCAGAAATGAGCAACACTGCCATTTTGGATAGCCCTCAGAAGCTGCAGAGAAGAGGTGTAATGACCAAGGTGCAGCCACTAGGGGGCATCAAAGCAGCAATGAAAGACTAAATTGGTATTGCTTAAATTTCACATTGGGTTTTGTATTAAGTATAGCTGTTTATGATGGTACTGTATGTTCCAGTAAACTAAGAAGAAAGCAGGTCATAAATATGGCTCTGTTAGTCTAAGTCTTCATTAAGTCTTGTGAGAGTATTAATAATTTATGTTTTGGGGATACAGGATAGCAGTTCCAGCAAGCAGACAAAGCACTGTCAATAATGAATAAGGCATATGCATATGAGCATAGAGCAAATAATGTTTTCATGTATAGTTCTTTTAACATTAAAAAAACAATAATAATATAATAATATAATAAAGCCAGAAACTACCCTGGAACTTAATTTGTATCTGTCAGTTTATTTGTGAAAATCTGCAAAGCTACACTACTACAAGCAGATGATCTTCTACAACACTAATAAGTAGTATAAGAGGTTTTTTCACATTTGCTGGTAGAATACAGGTAAGAACAGGTAAGAACTTTTGTGCAATGATGCAGAAACAACAACCTAAAATTACCTGAACAAGCTGAAACAGCTGCAAACTACAAAAACACTGTACTGTATATGGTAGTATTACACAGTTCTTTAACATGCTGCTCCTTGATAAAGAAAGCTCACTAGCTCAAGAAACCATACTCAATAAAATCTCAGGACTTTTCTCACATGAACTGAAGTCAATCAGATTTTTACAAGATACCTCACATTTTTTACATTTAAAGTAAATATTTTTATAGTACCTACACAGGTTTCTTTGAAGATATCATAACATCTTTACATACATTGTCTTCAAGGTTTGTTAGGAAATTATTAATATTTAATATTTCAAAAACGTGAATAAGAATTGTTCATAAATGCCATCTTATTCTCTTTCTTTCAGTAGGATGTTCTACAGACTCCAATGTATAACAGTACACACAGAGTACAGATTGAGATAGTTTAAGGGCTTTGACCAATTATATAATGAGGCTCATTTATCAGGCACAAGAAATTCAAAACACTTTGGTTCCCCTTACTGGCCATGACAAATTTAAAGCCCTGATATGCATGACAATTATTCCAAATCTAGTGAAAATTTAGACAGCCCTGGCAGAGATACTTCAACTGCTGCTGTAATATTTTTGATACTGACATGAAACTACAGTAGTTCTAAAGTATGGTTCCCAATTCTGGTACTGGACAAACAATGTCTATTCTGGTTTTTGCTTCAGTCAAACTCTTAGTTTTATACATGTGGTATATAGATCTTAAAAGGTGTTCTTTTAAAGAAACTCATTTTTTTTTTTAGTTTTAGGTCTGCCCTTGTTCAGGTGTTTTGTTTATATAGTAACAAAGTAGATCTGTTCAGAAGTTAAAAAATGCTCACTGTGGGAGTGTCTGATAAAGAGTCATTCTCGACAGACCTCTTCATCAGCAATTGATAAACTAGTAAAAGCTGTTCAGTCAGTAATTATGGCAGGCAGGTTGAGAAAGGGTTGTGTAAATTTTTGTTGGAAGTTGTTGGAAACTGTTCCATTAAAACCAGAGATTTTGACACTAAAGATTACACAAGGATACAAGAAAAATAAAGGTCTGAACATGAAAACAGATCAATTCCGTCATCATTTAGCACTGGAGATACAGACTTCAAGTCGGAATGAAAAATGAGCTCTGCAATAGAGTGTTCCTTCCAAACCAAGGTTGGGAATTACTGTTCTAGAGTATTAAAAGCCTCTTAGTAGAAGAGGCCAGTGGAAAAAAAATTCTACAGGCTTAAGCTGTAACACTGTAACTGTGTTGCCTACAAAGTACAAACCAAGAAAGGTTTTAGAGATCTGGCTAATTTGTGGCTCTAACCCCCCCCCCATTCCAATTGTATCCTAAAACTGCACATGTGCCTACTGTTAAAGTATGAGATGCAGAAGACATGACTAAGAAATCTCAAAGTCTTGTCTCTTATTCAAGAATCTCCAACATAGAAGAGACATTTAAAAATCAGGCAAATGCTGAGGAAAACTGAAAAAACTTTCTCCTTGATGGAGAAAGTGGGATCTACACAGTGTGCGTCTGCCCCACACACCACAATGTCAAGCCAATGATAACTGTGACAAAGTGCTCAATCTGAAAGATGGACGTAAAAGTATTTTTGACATGCATTTTGCTGATCTGGTCCAAGACACTGACAACGGATCTGGTCAGAAGCTCAGAAGCCTAGCAAGGTTCAGGAGAATCAAGAGATCAGGATTGGAGAGCTCTGAGGAAAACCAGGTTCCTGCATGTGGTGCTGGTGGACCAGTAGGTGGGACTCTTACCTTTGGACTCTCAGAATTTCTATACTAATACTCCAGTACGGTGACCATACACATGCTGTAGGGGGTGTCATCCTTTGAATGATTTGGGGTGTTTACTTCATTGTCCAGGCTAAATTCTACTCTGGGCTCACCTATAGATTCCCCTTAATTATAATGGTGAAGCAGTCTCTTACTTTTCTACCTGATCTGCTGTGACTTCTCACACAGTTTGCATTTCAGCGAAGGATCATGTTCATCCTCCTATATGTAAAGATTTCAGACTGCATGAAACATAAGTGTGCAGTAGTGCACCTCTTTGATACTGTTTCCATTGTCATGTGTGTAAAGTGAGACAACATCAACCCAGTACAAGTTCTTAGGGCTGTATCACATTCTAAAAACTGTAAACATGTTGCCAATTTGTGCCACATCTTTAAGAAAAATATAATGAGAGCTGCGGCAAAAGCAAGAAATCAGTGCACAATAATAACAATAATACGTTATTTATGAAGCAACTTTTCCAAAACCAAAGATGCTGATTGGCCAAATGACTAGTCCAACACAACTCTTTACTTCAGAAAATACCTGACACAACATTCATGAAGAGTTGTAACGTGAATGTTAAAAACCTAAAGGTTAAAGCGTTAATAACCTAAAGGTTATTAAGGTTAAAGCTAAAACATTCGGTAAGGTTAGAACATTACTAAGTACCCATAAGTTACAGTGCATACACAACTTTGAGTTATGGAAAAGAAACTTGGATGATTCCAAATTTCCTTCACCTTAACTGTGACAAGACTGAAGTCATGCTTATTGGCACCCCCCATCAACTTCATAAAGCCAGTCCTGTAACCCTATCTTTAGATGGTTCTGTACTTGAGCTTTAGTCTAAATTGAAAAACCTTGGGGTGATATTCGATTCTGGCTTAACATTGGACCCACATGTGCAGCATATTGTCAAAACATCTTTTTTTCACCTCAGAAATATCGCTAGACTATGCCCAATGCTATCACTAACTGTGGCCGAAAAGCTGATCAACACATTTGTGTTCTCTCGAATTGACTACTGTAATGGTCTACTCGCTGGGGTGTCTAAATCTACTTTGAACAACTGCAGTATGTCCAACATTCAGCAGCCAGAATCCTGACCAGGTCTAGTGCAAGCGATCACATTACTCCTATCCTGGCGTCTTTGCACTAGCTTCCTGTCACATTCTATGTAGACTTTAAGATCTACATGCTCACCTACAAGGCTCTGCATGGCTTGGCACCTCAGTACCTGTGTGAACTATTATCGCCCTACTCCCCACCTCGCAACCTTCGCTCCCCCAAGCCCGTCTACATTGGATGGGTGACGAGGCCTTCTCCTGTTATGCCCCCAAGCTCTGGAACTCTGCACAAGGATATCAGAGAGTCACCTTCTCTAAACTCCTTCCAATCCAGACTCAAAACCTTCTTTAGAAGAGCCTTTACTTAACTGGTTCCATTCTTCACCCCTCTGCTCTTCTTAGTACCACCATCCACGGTCTCCTCTGTATATTGTAATTGTATTTTATCTGTACTTTAAGAAAGGCACCTTTCAAGTCGCTATATAAAATAAAGTTTATTATTATGATTATTACATAAATTTTCAAATAACTTGTAATAAAAATCTGTCTTTCACTGCTTGGCCAATGCTCTAAAGACATCAAGTGCTTTGTCACAATAGAGTAGAGTGGGAAATGATGACCTGGCTAAGCTGGAGGTTTTACACAACATATCTGACCTGCTCATTCACATTTATATCCTAAAATTGATGTTTTTCTTGGACATTCTAACAATACTTAAAGCCAGAGTCCTGCCAGAGGGTGAAATGGGTCAAGCCTCACAAACAATGAGAATATGACTCTGCAGTCTCAGAAAAACAAAGACAATATGACTAAAAAATGCCATCCAGCATACTTCATTCCTAATTAGTATAGAGAAACTTTTTTAATTGCAAATTCTACCCTTTTATATCTCATCTGTAGCATAGTTCCTATCACTTAAACTATCAGGGGTTCTAATTTTCCGTGCTCAAACTTTAATGTCTGTAGCATATCACACTGATAAATAAAAGCATACCAAGATGGTCTTTTTGAAAGAATAATATTCATATTTTTAAATATGAAAGACACTTATCAAACTTCAAAAAATTTTATATTGGGGCATGGAAAAAATGCAATTTAAAATGACACCAAGATTATTATGTCTGCCGCATGGGTTTATCAATAACTTCAAGAAAACCTGTGTTAGTACAACAATGCTTAAATATAAGCACTTCAAATGAGAACATCTAAAAAATTATTTTAGATATTATTTCTGCAATTATTCATCAACCAAAAATAGGCCGCATTTCATGAATATCCGAAATGGTTAAACCATGCTCATTGATTGTTACATGGAATGACCCAAAAGTAAAACAATAATGAAGTCCTAAAAATCCTGTTTTCCAGGACCTTTTCCATCTTTTTCCATTATAAAATATGGCTAATCATTCATTTGGTCAGGACTGGAAGATCTGCACTACAGTGGTACTCACTGTACCCATTTGCTACTGTATTGCTTACTGTTTTTTCCCATGTGCTAAGAATGAGTTCATGCTCAGTGCAACTGCTGTCTCACTATTAACTGTTTTCAGATTTCTGTCATTCTGAGATCTGTGGGTTTGGTGGGTGGTGGTGGTATGCCAGTAAATGCAGATGGCCTTTGCTGCTTACCTGTCCTTTGGCAAAGCCACAGAGCAGCCTGGTGCAGTCGTGATTGATGCTGAGAGCCGAGACAGCGCCATACTGTGACCCAACTGCTGTGCTGCCCAGACACAGACGTAGAGCTTGATTGGGGTCTAGGAAAGACATAGATAAACCATCTCAGAAAATGGCATGGAGGACAAGTGGGGTCCTGAACCAGCATGCACAGCTATTTGTGTGATACAATTTTACTAATTAAAAAAAACAGAAAAAAGTCCATCCAACAGGCACTGAGTTCTAAATATCCTCCAAACACTTTTAGTGGGAAGCTAGAGATGGACCCAATTCTGCTCACAGCTATTTTCAAATACCAGGAAAAAATAGGTTCATTCTTTTCATCCAAACCCCAAAGATAATAAAAACAGTAAAGCAAATAAAAAATACAATATCAAGTCCCAGTTTAATCTGCAGACATCATAGGTCAGTTATTGATCCAAATATATTAAATCTGATGAAGGTTGAAGTGTCTTGTATTCACTTTCTACATTGGAAATTCATTGAGGATCATTTTTTAACTGTCCCAATAAATAAATAATTTAACCACCAGAGCATCCATCTACCATAAAGGAATTATCCACTTGCTCACCTTGACCATACTCGAAATATCACACCATAAAGGAAGATTTTAAAATGCCAACATTTAAAGGTGAACCTATTGTTATTGTGAAAGCTGAAAAAAGGAGTGTATCCTTATTTCTTAAACAAACATGAAAAGGAAACAATCAAACTGAGTCAAACTGTAAGGCAATTGACACTGATATGCTAATGTATATATAGTATTGAAGTAATGCTTGGTGCTTTTAGCTGATGATGCTTCCTTTTTGTTTTCATTATCACCAACTACGTAAATTGAAAAAAATGGCAGGTGACAAAAGAAAAATATCCAGCAATCTACTATACCTTTTCCTGTTTATTCCATAAAAGCCAGGGGAAAGCAGTAAGTAAGCAAAGACAAACATATAAGCATGAAATTTACTTATAACAATATAACTCACACTGAACATGTTATGTGAAAGCAAATACATTAAAATGGGTTTAAAGGTTGACAGTAATATGAAGATTACATTGTACTCACAAACAAATGGTGTGGATCTAATCAAACTGGCAAAACCAAAATCTCAAGTGGATAGAACCAGGCTGTTGTGATGTTCCTTGGTTTGCTGTCTAATTCATATTTATGCACTGTACTACATGCTGTTCTCTCATGAAGAAACTTCAGGTGTCTAGAATGCTTGCTGTATTATTCATAATAAACAGCAGCAGCCTCATTGAACTGCGGTGATATAAACTGTTTTGATTTATAAGCAAGACAAGCTTAGTTTTTCTCTCACCCATAATAAATCAAACTAGGTACACATTCCGGTTTGTACTTACCGAACACAAGGGCGAGTCCATGTGATGTCCCCACAGCTATTACATTAGATACTGTCTGGAAATTAATAACATAAATGCTGAACATAATGAAAAATCAAATTGCACAAGAACCAATATCAAATGTGTTTGTTGCCTTAGTTCTCAGTCACTGTGTGATGAATTCATCACTCTTTTTTGCCTGTACCCTGTCCTCCTAAAATCAATTACGATTTACTTGGTTGCTTGCAGACTGGAAGTACAAGGTCACCTGTTCCATACAAAATCATCACTTGAGAAAGAAGCCCATTACTTACTATTGCTGTTGGCAAACCAGCATCCACTTTATCCTGTGAAAACAAACATTTTATAACCAGCATTAGACTCTGTACCGACTTAAGATGCTAACAATTTACAACCAGCAGTTTTGGGGTAAAATTTCAATATGCTCTCTCTCTAACAATGCTTCCCCTACATATCAAAAGCTTTTGCATCCTGATATCCAAAATTTATAACAATATAACATTAAATGCATCCACATGGGAGAAACCTGATTTTGTAACCATCTTTTAATGCCCATTCTGACATAACATGATGTCATAACAGTACAATGTGTTGATGAGGACCAGTGTTGATTACACCTTTTTTCACACAATATCAGAAGGTTTAATATTGATGAAACATGAGGCCTATATTTCAAAGCTGGGAATACAAATACATAAAGCATATTTTTGTTTATAAATATATTGTTTTGAATAGCCTGCAGCACCACTTCAAATAAAATATGTCAGGATTCCTGATCTTAGAAATTTAACAACTAATGAAATGACTGTGACTCTTGATAAGTGGGAATAAATATAGTAGAACACCACAAAAACACAAATTATTGTATTTTATTGTATTTAGCTAACGTGTCATTTAGAAACTTTAAACAAAATACATAACAGGAAAAATGTACACCATTAAGTACAGTTCAGAAAATGTATTCACCCCTTTCCAGATTTTCTGAATTTTTCCATATTTTCGGTCCTGAATGTTATCATAGCTTCATGTGGGTCTTAGCAATATACAAATGGATTCTGAGTGAACAAATAACACCAAAGGTGGGTGTCTGTTCATTTATGTCATAAACAAAGTCATCAAACACCCAATGTCCCATGTGAAAAATTAACTTCCCCTTGTAACTGGTTGCACCACCTTTAGCTGCAATAATTGTTACCAAATGCTTCCTGTAATTGGTGATCAGTTTCTCACATCACTTTGTAGAAATGTTGGTCCTTTCCTCCAGGGAAAACTCTGCTTCACTTCAGTAACATTTTAGGGTTTTTTAGCATGAACTGCTCATTTCAGAGCAACTTTAGTCATGTTGACTTGCTTTGGGAGTTTAGGATCACTGTCTTACTGCATGACTCAATCGCACTTCAGCTTCAGCTGATGGACTGATGGCCTGATATTCTCCTTTAGAATTCTCTGATAAAGCAGAACTCATGCATCCTTCTATAACAGCAAGTTGTCCAGATCTTTGATGCAGCCAAGCATCCCCAAACCATGACACCACCACCACCATGTTTGACAGTTGGAATGAGGTTCTTATTGTGAACCAGCAGTGTTTGGTTTTTGCCAGACAGAACAGCACCCAAGCAGTCTGAAAAGGTCCGCTTTCGACCTGTCTGTGCACAGACCATTCTTCCAAAAGTGTTTAGGGTCATTCAGGTACATTTTAGTAAACCTGAGATAAGCATCAATGTTCTACTTGGCAAGCAATGGTTTTTGCCTTGCTCCTCCCCCATGAATCCCATTTTTACCCAGTGCTTTTCTGATGGTGGAGTCATGAACCATGAACCCATGAACTCCAGAACCCTGCAGGCCTCTCAGTCTGAAGATCTGGGTTTTCTTTGTAGCTTCCCGGACAATTTCGTGCTGCATTTTTGCAGCGAGAGCTTTAGAAGTGGTTTTGTAACTTTCCTGATTGATAAGCACAAATGACTTTTTTTCTGAGGTCTTCAAAAATATATTTTGAGCAGGACATAATATACCACTAGATTCCATGTGGTAACCACTTCAATGTGATGATAAGAACTAAATGTGTGAGTTTTATATTGAACATGGAAACAGCCCTGACTGTTTAATAAAGTATTTACACAGCTGGCCCTAGTTATACCCTTTAATAAGCACTTCATTGCACTTGTTCATATGACAAATTAACTGAACTGAATTAGAATAACTGAACTAGAGGGCATAGCTGGATAGCTTTGTGTATAAAATAAATTAAACAAGCACCAAATTTTGCTGTTATTAGTTTGCTAAGACTCCTGTTATTTAAAACTAGGACAAACATGTTTCTCAAAACATTCAGTGGAGAAGATAAGAAAAAATTCTGGAAATCTGCAATGAAGCAAATACTTTCAAAGAACTATAAAAGAAAGAAGTTAAAATATGGTGCATAAAATAGGAATAAGCAGCAAACAGACTAGAAACATAGGCAGTAGCAAAAGGTTAAAAGTCAGTATCAAGATGTTAATAAAGAAATGTAAGTTTTCTGGAACTGTGTATCAATGGCTGCTTTAATGTTGTACTGATGCTCCTACAGTACATGGGAATTGTGCTTGTTTGAAACATCAATATATATTCTAAGAACAAGATTATCTTTTATTTATTGGTTTTTTCTCTAATTTTATTCTATTCAGGTATTGGACAAAAACAAAAACCGCATGGCATAGTGGTGCAGTGGTTAACATTGCTGCCTCACAGCACTGGCTCCCTGGGGTCAGTCCCACACTTGGTAAACTAGGTAAAGAAACCTGGGCAGACCTGACTACATACAAACATTCAAAATAAGATTTTACACTTGAAAGTCAAAAAGGATGGAAAAGCAATTATTGGTGTTGCTCATGACTTTGAAAACTTGATCCAGCTAGGCCAGGAGGATTTTTTTTTACTTTAGTTCAGTTATCCTAGGATTCTGAACTTGTTATACTACATAATTAGGTTGCAGATTAACTAGTGGATGCACATCAGTATCCAAATTCCTTCTCCACAAACAGATGGATTGCTACAATGTGTCACAGTAACAGTTCATCTGCAAATTGATCTCCTGTAATACATTTTTGGAAAGAAAGAACATTGCTTAATTGTACAGGCTAAAGGCAAGGTATGAGTTATCCTTAATGACCTGTTTGTACAAACCAGAAACACTGGTATGTTATTGATCAATTAAGCATAATGTAATGTCCTCAAATAACAGAACTCTGGTCCACAAGGGCTAACAATTTATGTTATAAATGAATCTGAAAATTAATTAATTTAACAAACCATTTACAACTGATCACAATTAAATGTTGCAGGTCTTTATAAACTGATGGTTACCTACAGAAGCTGATGAATCCAGGCTCTGCAGGAGCCGGGTTGTATACAGTATGCCTGCCCTAAAGCATACATTTACACTAGCTTTCCTCAGGATTTTGAATTGGCTATATCTACCCGTATTGAAACAAAAATCACACACTATGAATGTATGAGGAAATGGGATAGGAAATCCCCTGCTGGGCAAGTTGACAAGCCCAGAAACTCACAGCAGCAGACACCATTTGTGCAGAGATTCCCTTCAACGTGCCACGTCGCAGAACTGAGCCATGGACCGCAATGTTGCTTTCAGCTAACTTCTTCTTTCTGAAAAACATCAGAGAGGAGAATTATTATGCACAGCAGACACAGATTTCTGCATTATCTAATACTATAAAGTGATATATTCTATGATCTTCACATTCTCCCCTATGTTCATCTTGTTAAAAGTAACCAGCTCACAATATATTATTGTTCAAACGAATCTGCGGAGAATAAAGCTGCTGTTGTGAGAAAACTTGTGTGAGACAACATCCAATATTATTTCATAAAAGCAACTGATTGTTCTCAATATAAACTCCAGAAAGCAAGCAATAAGTGTTTTTTTTTAAAGTGAAGAAGAACCACACTTTGACAATAAATTAAAGGACCCAACTACATACATTTTACCCCACAGCTTTCTTGCAATGACATACGTTTTAAAACAAATAAAACTACAAAAGATTAACAAAATTAAAAACTAAGAACGATTTTACAGATCCTTCTGTATGATATGTAATAAGAATGAAACCTTATTTGTTGACTGCCTTATTGTTATGTTTTTATATTCTGCCATATCTGTCTGAGCACACAGTATAAATACAGTACATCACAGCGCTGTACCTTTTTAGATGTGTGCGGTCCCCACTATCTGAGCTGGCAAGAGAGGACGTTTCGCAGGAATGAGCATCTATGTTCTCAGTATTCAGCAAGGAGGTGTCTTCCAGGATGAAAGGTTCATCCTCATCTTCAGGCTGAAAAATAATTGACAGAGCAAATGGCTCAAACAAGAAGTCCATTGCTTTTTAGACACTAGCACCAAAACCTACAGGTATGTGGCTTAAAGCATAATGTGGCACCTACAAGATAAGCAAATCATACCTCATTTAAGATACTTTCCAGAGTGGGAGGGGTATCAACTTGAGGGATGTCATATTCTTTGTCATCAATCTGAAAGGCAATGATATAAAAACATCACTATAGTCTCTTTAAAATCTAAATTGCGAGTCGAGTCAGTCGTGGATTGCAGTCCATATTGAAAGAGAACAATTCACAACTTGTAACACTTTGACACCTTAAAATTGCTCCTAGGTGTGTTGTGAGGAAAAGTCAGGTCAACAAGACTATAAAGTTGTAGTGACACCAACTGAAAAATCCTTTTTTATATGGGAAGATAATTTGTTTCGTTAAAAATAAAATTACAAATGTTTTTGTAAGTTGCTGTTTTTGGTGGAGGAGGCAAATTGTACAAATCATGTAGTGCCATACTTTTAGCTGTAACTTATAAAATTTCAAGCCTATCCAGCAAATGTTTAAGAATAAGTAAAACATGAAAAGCAGACCATTATCAAAAAAGCTGCAGACATAATGTGACAGTTTCAAGCATGATCACAAAAATCAGTATTCTTCCACGATACATAGTGATTACAACAATGGAAAGAAATACAGTATTTGTTGCGTTGAAATTTAACTCCTGTAACATTGAGTTATATGTAGGAGCAGTACAACAGACTGACATGGACAGGTACAACGAATCAAAGACAGTTACAACGAATCAAAGACAGTTACAGAATACGATAAGTGCCAGTTTAGTGTATATCCACGATAGCCTGAACAGGTTCTGAACAACAATTAAATTAAAATGCATAAATCACAGTAGTATCTCATAATTTTAAGTTCTGCAGGAACACAGCTTCAATAAATTTTGGAACAAAGCCTCGAATTCACTCTTATGGGTCTGTCCACTGCTTGCAGAATATGTCACATGCCATAGACCTGCACTATAAACACAAAATGCATCTGATCAGTTATCATTACCAGCAATTTGTAGTATAAACGCCGCATACTCATAACATCGTCTTAACACAAAATACTAACCGCATCAATGTCCATCAAATTCAGCTGTGAGGACGCAGAAACCAGGCTCCGTGTTTCAGGTGATTCCGACATCTTTACCCAAGGAGAAATATATACACACAGCAGAATAAAATAAATATGCCAGAAGTCTTAGTATTGCGCTGCTACAGCCACTAAGACATCCTGATACTACAATCGGATGTGACGACATCCGTTTTGTGGGATACGTCATGGTTTCACTGGTAAACACTGCGCAGAAGAAAATGATATGGCGTTTTGGGTTTATTTATTAAATATACAAATCTCTCAAATGTCTTCAACACACTCCCACATAAAAAAAATAATATTTATTTTAACTTAACCTTTTAAGGTTTTATTTTTGTCCAGGCATTGAAATAACATTGTTTTCCCTTTTACCATATAGTGTGTAGGAATTTTTACAGACTCGTCCAATTATTTCTCTTCCCTGAATGCATGCACCAACCACTTTATTTACTTCGCGAAACAGGTTACACTACAGCGACTTCTGGTCACATGATGTGAACTGCTTAGCAACGGGAAACGCTAAATACTGTATGTTTCTAAGCAATGCAAAGATCTGTTTGACAGCATTTAAAGGGGTTTAATTCAATCTCGTAGAAAGAAAAAATAACGTTTCCTACATTAATTTAGAATGTTTTTATAATTCTGCATACCGAAGAAAAGTCATATTGCATTGCAAGTATGAACATTCTAATAACACTTTCAAATGATTTTACGCTTTGACTTTTATATATATGTTTATACTGTATATTTTGGGTACTACCTAGTAACTTTTGGTTTGTTTGATTTTGTTGCATTAAATAGAACATTTAGCTATGGCTGGAAAAAAGAAAGAGTTGGCGCTGCAGGTATGTATTATTTTTATACAGTAATAAAGAACCCATAGTATTCTATTCTAGTATCAGTGCCGTAGAATTGTTTTTAAAGGCCGAAAATAAACACAGACAGCTTCTACTTTTTTCATTTTTTTCATAAATATGTTTACAATTTTTAGAACTTCTCAAGTGCAACTGTTTTCTCCTAATTCTTGTTTTTATTATTTACCAAGCTGTCTTAAACGATAACGAAAAGCCACTTGTCTAGGAAAATCGAACAACAATATCGAGGGGCTAAATCTTTATACAGGAGATTCCAGTCTTGAAAACATTCCTGTGTTGAACACAAGAATCATTATGATTTTTAGAGAATCTGTAATACAGGGACGTTGTGTATCATCAAAGTAAAATGAGCCATAAGACTGGTATCAATTGTTTTTTGTTGATTGTTTTTTAGATGGCCATTACCAACCAGGAACAATGGGACGAAATGCTTGCAATGAAAGGGTTGATTGGTAAATACAAAAGTTGTAGTTTTATTCTAGCTGGCATGACTTAAATTAAATTCAATAAAGCACTATTGTTTTTGATGTAAAGGATGGCAGATAAGTGACTGGAGCTGCTGGCAGGTTTAATATCCCAATAATGTTATTTATTTGCCTATTACTTAATGTATTGTAGATATGGATATGTTAAAAATAGTTTTTGGCATCTAGCAAATAATATCTGTTAATATTTAAAAAGGAAAACAAGTTGTTCCTCTGTATTAAAAGAGACTAGGACAGAAAATTAATGACACTAATCCATGTTTTGCCAGTGGACAAACAGCCCATTCTGTGTTAAATTACTTAGATGTGCAATTGTTTTTCACTGTTTAGCCCACAAGGGAAAACAGGCCAATGGAACCTAGTTAAAGAATGATAAGAAAACAAATCTGCTTTTAATTACAAAACACAGTGCATAGTTTTACTTGAAGTTTTGCTGAGGTTAAAAATACAGCTAAAGTATAAAATACTTTCAGTCGACAGCAGAGTCTGAGTCTGCAAATCCAACCACACAGTCTGGGGGGCAAGTCACAAAAACAAAGAAGCTGAAAAGAAAAATGATTATTTTTTGTATTTTTTATTAATGGTGGCATGAAGTTAATTATAAAGGAAGCTTATTTAGCGACTGCAGACAGGCAGGATGTGCATTATAAAGGGACACTGCCAATGCTGAAGCTGCAGTGTATCCAGAGTGCTTGTCTGCAGAGTTCAGTGCTTCCTCCACACTCTCACTCCTTTTCCCACAGCGGTGGACGTTTACCAGCTTTGGTGCGGGCCCTGCCGAGCTGTTGTCAGCCTCTTCCGGAAAATCAAAAATGAACTGGGAGATGAACTCTTGCATTTTGCCACGGTAAGTCCAAGTAAAGAACACAGTTTTTCTTTTTTTCTTTTTTGTTTGTTTGAAGTAAGGTACCTTTTCCTGATAATATCTTAATGTTACTGTATAATAATAGCAATATATATATGTAATGTATAAATATATTAATATGATATATTATATATAATTAATAAATATACTGTATTATATATAATAATAGCATTAAATAATCAAAAGTTAGAAGAATAACCATCCTTAACTGAAATGAAGTCCTCTATATAACGTTTAAATGAGAGTAAGTATTTTTAATCAACTAAAAATATTTAATTGGCAGTTGCAGACAAGACACACCAGAATTTTCATTTTCCAAAATGTTTCGGATGTAAATGTGTATTTTAGTATATCCAGAAATCATTTCAGGATATCCCCAAAGCATTCCACATTTCTTATTTTCATTATATACTCTGAAGTATCCATTATCTTGAGATATGTATATTTAAATATATATTTATTTAAATTAGGATATCTAATGATAATTTAACCAGCTATATCTTTCAAAGTGAGGATGTTTTTAAAAGCAAAATGTAACTATTGTACATAATTTACAAATAAAATGCTATATCTGTGCAATAGCTCAAAATTTCCCATTGGCCCTTACCAATGATGGCCTCCTAATAATCCCCATCTATGAATTAGCTACATTACTCTGCTCTCCTCCCCACTGATAACTGATGTGTGGTGAGTGTTCTGGCGCACTATGGCTGCCGTCGCATCATCCAGGTGGATGCTGCAAATTGGTGGTGATGGGGGGGAGTCCCCATTACCTATAAAGCGCTTTGAGTGGAGTGTCCAGAACAGCGCTATATAAGTGTAAGCAATTATTATAATTATAATTATTTATAATTATAAATTCACCCTAGTAGAGTGCAACTCATTTTTGAATCAAGGAGGCATAAAGGTGTCTTTACAGTAAGAGGACCATGTCTAGTTATTGCTCATCTGGATTTCTTTTTTTGTTTTCAGGCAGAGGCAGACAGCATTGATGCCCTTGAACGGTACCGTGGAAAATGTGAACCTACATTTCTCTTTTATGGAGTAAGTGCAATGTAACAAGGTCACCCCTAAAATACAGTTGAGTATCCATGAATATGACATGGCACAGACATTTCATAAAGACCAGAAAGACAGTTAATTATCTGTCTCCTAAAGATACTGTATAAGACCAAGAAGATCTACAAAATACAAATACATTTGATGGTAAAAAACAAATTACAAGAATACATAGACATGGAAACTTATATAGAAACTGGTCTTATTCTTATATAGTATGTAGTATCAAGTGTTTTTTCTTCCATTTTATTTTGACTGTTAAATTGCTGTTTTGAATTATTTGATGAGAATTGACTTAATCTGAGGATCCCAATCCAGGTCCTGAAGGATGATACACCTGCTGTTTTTTCTCGTTATCAAGCTCTCAGTATCCCAATTGCACCTTAACTAATTTATTAATACTATCAGTTTGAATATTTGACTGTTTACAGCTCTAACTGTAAATATGTACAGTAGGTTGCCCCCCTATTCATTTTGGTTCATAAGAAATAATTGAGTAGACAAAAACTTACAAACATTCCAATCAAGCAACTTGATTGTTAGTTCAATTATGTAATTAAGCTCTGCTAGAATTAAAAAAAAAACATCAAGAATGTGGTCCTCGAGGTTTAAGAATCACTGACATTAGGAACCCCTGGAAAAAATTATCCCTTTGTCTGCTCTTTTGTCTTAAGAATGTGCTTTGACATCACCAATCTCATCATCTGGAAGAGTATGTTATGCAAATAAATAGTTTAATTAGCTCAGTTCCCAAGTGTAACAAAAAATGGAAAGACCTTGTGGCACAACAGGATTGGATAGAGTTTTCTACCTCTTCTCAGTATCTGGGCTGTTTGTGTATATACAGTACATGCCGTATCCTGTAGGTTTTAAGCGGAGTGGTGTGTGTGCGTGTGCTTTTCAGGGAGGTCAGTTGGTGTCAGTTGTGCGTGGGGCCAATGCTCCCCTCCTTCAGAAGACAGTTGTGGACCAGCTGGCAGCAGAGAAGAGAGTGTTGGAGCAGGGCATTGAGCGCAAAGTGGTAAGACGCTGCCGACATGAGAGCGTGGAAAAAAGACAGCGAGATCACTTATATAAAATGAAAGCATTTTATGGCTAATGAGGGCTAATGAAAAACTACTGCTACACACATTTCAGCCTCTTCTTCAGCTGGGTCATTTGATAGTGTGTAATAGAGTCTACTTTCCCTATCGATTTTTGATATAATGGTAATAGGTAAAACCTCATCCCGCATAGATGATGTGTGCTTAATATATTTTTTTCTGGGGAGTATTGTAAACTACTATGTGAAAATTCATTTTTCTCTGTGTTCTACTATTTGAATTAGATAAGAGATGAAGGTCTGGTTGAAGATAAAGAAGAGGAGGTGATTAAAAATGAGGAAACTGAGGATGATGTTCTTGGTAGGATGTCTTAACTTTGGTAGATTCTACTGTCCAACTCAGGTGTTTTGTATCAATAATCCTGCAAAGTTTACTATGATTTTAGATAAGACTTACAGTGAAACACAAGTCGCCAAGTATGAGTGCTAATGTAAAAGAAAGTATTTTTTGCATACTGTAGGATATAGGATATAATTCCTATTGCATTATGTAAAAATGTCAATAACAAAAATGGATATTTCTCTGGGTATAGTTTACCTGATCATTGCAGTAGAGTATAGGATAGGATTCCCAACCTCTAATTCACCATAAACAAGCTATGCATTTGCTTTGCTGCAGTTCCTATCAGCGAATCATACACTGTGGCCATTATTAAACCAGATGCGGTTGCACAAGGAAAAGCACATGAAATTATTATGAAGGTAAGATCTGGTGCAGACTGATCGTAACATTTCATATAAGACACAAGTATTTTTTTAGTAAAGGAACAGGTAACTGGTTTATTCCATGCTGAAAAGAAAAGAAACCAAACACGTTTTGGCTGTGGAGCATTCTTCAGGTGTGAGAAAGACAGGGAAGACGGCAAAGATTAAATAGCACAGGAGAACAAAAGCTGGAGTAGGGAGAAGGCGAGAGGCCACTCAGGAAGTGCAAAATGGAGAGGGGTGGAGAAAGTGTCACGATCCGGTTCTTTCCGGGCCCTATGCGGATGACACGATTCGGAATTGTGAGGATACAATAGGGAAAATAGTCATGCAGGAGAAGGGTCTGGAGACGGGGGGCATGTCCGAGGAGTGCAGGTGTCCAGGGGGAGTGAATCCAGGGCAAACAATCCAAGGGTATATCCAAAGGGGGAATCCAAAACGGGAGGTTGAGTCCAAGACCAGGGGATCCATCCGAAGTTAAAACAAGAACGGGGTCCGGACCAGCGGGGCAGGGAATCAGGAACAGAAAACTAAAACCATGATGGAGCCAGACTGGCAGGACCCTGGGCTCTCACAAAGCAGGATTCAATGAGAAGCCTTGGGCAAACGCCTGCATCTGACTTTAAAGGTGGAACTAAAGAGGGGCTGGAATAAGGAACAGGTGTAAACAATGGGGGAAACGAGGAAGGGCTGGAGCGCCCTTAAGAGGGGGAGTAGCCCCCCTTGACAAAAAGGTGTGAAGTAAAAAAACAGATCGCTGTGAAGAGGCGGAAAGCTGGTTTAGTAAGAGGGGGCAAGTGGCCCAGGGAGGAGGAGAAGAAGGGTGTAAGAAAGATTGTTTTTGTACCACTAGGTTCAGGAAGCTGGATTTGAGATATTAGCCCGTGAGGAAAGAACTCTGACTGAGACTGAGGTGCGGGATTTCTACCAACACAAGAGTTCAGAGGTAACCAGGAAACCTGTACAAGTTAGAAGTAGCATAAAAAAGCAGGAACAAGGACATTTTCAAATACTATACCTTCTATAACACACTGATATAAACATTATTAATGTTTTAATTTTAATTTTTAGACTTATCAATTAGTCATATAACTGCCACATGGACTGTAATATTTTTATTCTAAATTTGTTTCCCCAGCAAAAGAGAAACTAAGTATACAGTATGATGCTTAATTATGTGAGTAGTGTAAAATATGTATTATTGTAAACAATTTACCAGAGTTACACCGGAAAAATAATAAATATCATTACCAAATTAGCATAGTTTAGCAAGATTTGTTATTCGTAGTAAATCAGTGAATAACAGTTGGGGTGGATTCCAATATTATGCCTGTAAATGTATATTTAAAAATATATCACTGTGTTGGTTTGTTATACTACTCTTTTTGCTACAAAGGGTGGACCAATGATTTTATTTTCACAAAGGAACCAAAGTATTGATTGAGCTTTAAGTGGGGGTGAAATAAAATACAACACATATTTTGTCTGAAACAGGGTAATATGAGTTTTTACTTCACTTGAAGAAAGGTTTTATATTTATGGCTTTCAAATAAGGAAAAAGTGCACTCATTAACACTGGTATTAAATGTCAACAAAAGTGCTAATACTCTGACATTGGCAATTTTGCTGTTGGGAACCGAAAACATCTCTGTACACTTAATGTATTTAAAACATACTGATACTGAACATGAACTGTGAAATAATTGCTGACTATATATAAAGTTTGCTTATCATGCAGTTTATGAATACATGACATGTCAATAAATTTATATAAAATAAAAGTTTTTCTTTTCTGAGATGGTAGCTTCTTGAACCAGGTTCACCAAAAACAATCTGCATGTACGATGTTAAAAACAGCTTCCAAGAGAAAAAACAGAGTAATTAAACATTTTTTTGTTTTTTCAGCCATCCTTTGAAGAACTGGTACAGTTCATGTCTAGTGGTCCCTCGCATGTCTTAGTGGTATCCAAGCCAGAGGGCTCTGAAGATGTCATCCCAGCATGGAGAGAGTTCATTGGCCCCACTGATGTTGAGGAAGCCAGAAGGGAGAAGCCTGAGAGGTAAGCCTGAGAGTATGGTAATACTTAACTTGCCCTCAATCCTCCAGTAGTGTGAGCTTATATGATTGGTTCTCATAGATAAATATTATAAACTATTTTAGATGATTTTGGTTGACACTGCTGAAGCAGATTGAACATTCCTTTAGACAACATTACGTCTTAACTGAAAAAAATTACAAAGGGGATGGCTGATTGGGTTTTCAGTCATGTACTTTCAAATAGTTACAGTAAATATTTTTTATATTTAATACTTGAGTAATGTCACTAGAAGGCCTTGCTCTAAATTCAGTCCAGTAAAACTTATTTAACATTTCTCATTTGCAGTGATAAAAGATGATGCTTCCATGTCATTGAATGGAGGAATAATTTTAGCCCAAAAGAAATTAACTCAGCCGTAAAATCAAAGCAGTTCTCTGAAATACATTTAGAAAAAACTTTTAGCTCTCTATAGTTCTTTCTCTCCAGTATTTTTAAAAGGTTAGTATACATTTTTGTCCCTAGGTATAACCTTTTCTTTTATTCCCCACACAGCTTGCGGGCCCAGTATGGCACAGAGACTCTCTTTAACGCCATCCACGGCAGTACTGACAGTGAACAGGCCAGCAAAGAGCTCGCTTTCTTCTTTCCCCACTTCAAAATAGCTGCCGAAACAAACATAAATGACAAAGAGGAGGCTTCAGTGGAAAGGACGCTGGCCCTCATCCGACCAGAAATCGTAAAAGAGAAAAAAGGTAGAACAAATGAAATACAAATCAGATACACATTGCAGATTTACAAACACAAACACAGAGTTATGATGGTGTGATATCAATTATATATCAATTATAATGATTATCCTGCTTGTCTTGTGATATATTATTTAATTTTGTATTGAAGCTGCATACATACTGTATACCCTAAATCTGATAAAACTTGTATAAGAGTGACTAATGTATTTTCAGGAGAGATCCTGCAGCGGATCCAGGAGTCAGGTTTCACCATTGCCATGCAGAAGGAAGTGATGCTGACAGAGGAGCAGGTGCACCAATTCTACAGTGACCATGTGGGCAAGGACTACTTCCCAGCACTACTCAGCAATATGACCAGGTAACACCTACAGCACAAGCTAACAAATGCATTTTCCATATTGGTAGGTTTCTAATATCAGATAAAAGCTCATTTTCTGTGATTGTTCAAGAAATGAAAAAATAGACTTCAAACAATCAAGAAAGAAGCAGATGAACAGCTAAGAGCAGCACTAGATAGATAGATAAGACTTTATTAATCCCATAGGGAAATTGATGTGTTACAGCAGTCCAGCCCAACACAAGCAAAAACAGACATCAGAATAGTTATAAAACAAAAGACAACAAAATAAATAAAAAATAAATACATAGGTGTGTGCAAAATGTGATGATCATAGTCGCTGTAAAAACAATAAAATATGTGCAAAATGTGCATAGGTTTATCAGAGAATCAGACTGATGTCCAAAAAGTACAATGATGTTGGTACTAAGGAACTGGTTGTTTTATGCTTCAATATACTGTATGTACAGTATATTATAAAACAATATATATTGTAAGTAGATACCAAATCAGGAAAGCAGACTATGGAGTACTTAAATGAGTTCATATGGAAATGGAAATTTACAAAATTCTCAAAATACAGAACAGATTCATCCTAAGAGTAAGCAAATATAAAGTATAGGAAACAGTGCTCTCACTGATACAAATATAAAGCTTGTAAAAGTCCGAAAGGGATATGGCCGGGATATTTAATATTTCACTTAGGTGTTCACCAAGAAGAATCAATATCCCTCAGACTGACAAAAGTTCTGTATTCAATTATATTGACATACATGGTACAGAAGTACTAATTCAGTTCCTAGAAGGATAATTACAATCCTTATGAATTGTGCTTTTATGTTTATAAGCTAAAACCCTAGATTTATCTTGCAGAGTCATCAGCCTAAAGTTCTGGCAAGGAATCTGTGCAGTGCCCTCATTCAAGGAGGCCTCAAACCAGACAGGAAACCCACTATGCGAAACTCCCTTTCACGTGTGCCTAACATGTGCCTAACTGTCTAATAAATTAATTCTCAAATGCCACTTCTTCCCCTTTACTAGGAGTTTATTGGAGTGAAGAAAAATTGTTTTTTGTACCAGTAAGCAGCTTAGCTGCCTGGCTAAATATAGGATATTAAGACATTTTAAACATTCTAGTAGGTAGCTACATCAGCATGCTTAGGTTGCAAAGGAACAGGTAAAAGTTAATTCTATGCTGAAAGGTAAAGAAACATGTTTTGGCTGTGGAGCCTTCTTCAACACACCTGAAGAAGGCTCTACAGCCAAAATATTGTGTTTCTTTTCTTTACCTTTCAGCCTTTACCTGTTCCTCAAAAAACAGCATTTGAGAAGCAGTAAGATGTTTTTGTGGAAGTTTAACCACACTGAATAAAGAGTGTTGTTTTTATCTTAAGGCTGGTGTCTGTTGCTTGAGACCCACCTATTTTAAAGATTCAGTTACTGTACTGTACTCAATTATAATGAATATGTTGTGCAGCACAAGAACATAACTACTCTAGGTACTTTTTATTATTTTAATTGTATGTAATTTACATTTAATAGTTCCTTTTCTAACTGACCAGCTTACAGGACTGCAAAAGGAACAAGAGGAGTTATTCAATGGGCTGGTTTCTCTGAGCTGACATGTTTCATACAGAGAACTGTCTGGGGATTATAGCAGTCTAATGTAGCAGCATGGTTTTACCACATTATACAGTTACCTTTAATTGAAATCACATTGAAGATGGAGTAGTACAGAACTTTGTCAGTGTTTCTTAATTCAGTTTTGTGGCAGTAATTAAGACTGAAACAATACTTTGTTTAATTATTTTAACCAAATTGATTTTTTTTTTTATTGAGAACTGGTAAAGTATTAAACATTTGCTTGTGATAATCATCCTTATTCAAAACATTAATTTAGTTCAGTGACTTTTGTTTGATTAATGTGATGATATTGGCTAATAATTTCAACCTATTATTGTACATGGGAGATTGAAATTCAAAATTCAAAAATTAAGAGATGCTTATAAAGAAATGACAAGATGATTCCCTTTTATTTTATAACCTTTTTTATGGCAGATCAGTCCACATGTTCCAAAGTCTAGTCTAGACTCATTTGTTGTACACATACTGTAGAAGTTGGTAATAATGATGCTGCTGTCTTACAGGTACCGTCTGGATAAGTAGATGGTACACTACACATTTATGCCCAATGTTGAATGTAATAAAAGCATGAAAAATGTGTAAATGTTAAACATTAAGCAAGAGCAAATGCTAATGATTCCCTGGAGTGCAGTGCTTAAGTGACTGATGGTGACATTGACAGGAAAGCAGCCAGCAGCTTGATAGACTGGACTTCTTAACATCATTAGCTGGGGCCAGCCACTGAATATGATTCAGAATTTTCTATAGCTTTAATTTATGCTTGTAAGTATTAATAATGTTAAGGATATGCAATTTTAATTTCTTGGATTTCTACATTTTTTTCCATCACAGATGATATTAAACTTTATAAGGGGACCCACTTAGTCCACCCCTGAACTGCAGCAATCTCTGGGATGACACAGCATTACACTAGTGTCTGGCAGTAAACTAGAGATAATACCCTTAATCTTACAAACAATGCCTTTGAATCTTTAATTGCCCATTTGAAGGGCAGTACCTCCTAAAGCAATGTGAACCCTGTCACCATACCTGGATATTGGTTTAAAAACTCTGCTCCAGAGGGACGATTGTCTCCTTCTGGTCCAACACAATCAACATAGTTTTCCTTGGTGGTCTACCATTCCAGTATTGACCAAATCCAGCCATTCATAGCAGAGATCTGGTTAGAAGGGAGGTAATGCAGCTTTCTCAAAATAGATCTGCATAAAACTATTGATAATTTAATATCCCAGCTGTATTTTACAAATGAATGTTTTTATTTAATTCCAATAAAATTGTTCCAGGATAAAGGTATGCATCAATTAATTTGTGTTTAAAGTAAAAGACAGATCAAAGCCTATTGAGTATTTAATTCTTGGATAATTCTATATAGTTTCCCTTTAGTAAAGAAAATCTTTCTATCATATAAAGATATAGCTCACCCGGGTCACATTTATGTTTATTATGTTTTATTATTATTTAGGTTTAGGTTTATTAACCTAAACCTAGGAGAGATACATTTGATCTCTGGATAAGGCTTTGGCTAGTCTAGCTAAAGTATACCTAGCATTTCATAGGTATCTTGTGACAGTCTGCTCTTTATGTGCTTCTGTAAAAAAGGTTTGATGATGGCATTTGATGGCATTTGATGATGGCATTTAGGAAGTGGTATTGTGATGACATCATCTCTTATCAAGGTAGTAATTACCCATGACGATGCAGGGCTGTCCTTATTCCCCACTTGATTGCAATGCCACATTTGCAATATACATTTCCAGGACGCTAGTAACAGTTTATTTCTGAACCTCTGAACTCACGTTTGGCAGTTTTGCACTGCCTTTCCTAGATGAAAGCCCATGGTGATGTTAATTCCAGCCAACATGATCAAACATCCATTACAGCCTCTTTTACCTACAGCATGCTTTGTCTTCCATAGGTGGTTGTATATTCTTTACCACAGAAACCTCTTATTTCTCTCCTAAAGTCATCAAGGCAAACACAGTAGTTTATAATTTATTTATAATGATCAATATGTAGCATCATGTGACAGTGTTTATATAGCACAAGAGTCCCCTAAGACTTTCTGTGGATCTTGCCCCATTGGGTCTTTCAATATGGTCATTAGGTTTGTAAAAGAGATTGCTCTGCAGTGTTTAAATTTGTCCCACATCAGTTCAGTATGCATTACATTCTAGGAGCTCTGAAGATAAGCACATGCTTACCCCACATACTGTACCCTTATAATTTAGGGATATTGGAATTGATTCCAAGGAGTATTATAATTCACACTTTACACATGTAGTGTTTGGATGGTTTGAATTACTGAAACAATTAGAAATTGAAACAGTAAATTCCAAGTGTACTTTATGGCTGTTAGAAATGAGTCGTAAATAGTGACACACGCATACAGTACTCAATGAATAGAATGCACATTTTTTCTTAATAATAAAATATGCTAAAAAAAACAATACAATAATGACTACATATGTAATATATGCCTGAACAATTATTCATTGTTTAGATATTAATAGGGTTAAAATATGCTGACTATAATGCTTAGTTAACTGTCAAGATTATAGATCCGTTTCATGCACATCAATGTTATTAAATGCGTGAAAGATTTTATCTTAATCTTAATGAATTAATATTTAATTACTGTACTAAATTTATATTTCTCATACTTATACTTGTGTGCAATAATGGATCAATTATGTAGGATTACGATGTGAATATTTAATATATACAAATCTGAATTAGACACCAGTCAGTCTTACTGTACATCCAGATGAGGTTTTTAAAAGTCCATACAAAGAGATGAATACCTGGATGCAGTCACAGCTGTCCAATATTCTTCTGCTGGTCCTGCAATAAAGGAGGGTTCTGCTTTGTCTTGTGCTAAATAAGAAAGACTACTACAAAAACCTTTGTCCAAAGTTTAATTGTTATCTCAAAATGAACTGAACTTCACACTGTTTGTTCACCTAATACACATTGTATTGTGAAACACAGTTGCAGCATGTATTGAGAGGCATCCCTGCCCATTTGTGTCACAGGCTTTGTCTGACCTCACCCATGTTGTCTCTTTTGCTACAGTGGTCCAGTTCTGGCACTTGCTCTTGCAAAGAAGGGAGCTGTGGAAACCTGGAGAAACATCTTGGGACCTAAAGACATTGAAAAGGCCAAAGAAGAGGCACCTGACAGGTCTGCTTAAAAAGGCATCTACTGTATGGCATCACTTGTGATACCTGCAACAGTCCAGATTTCATAGATTTGTTCGGCAGATCAATATAGGAGAACACCACAACAGAAAAGGTGGCCAAAAAAGAAGGGAAAGATGCGCAATATATAAACCCAACACTCAGGGTTGCAAAGCGGTGGTAGCTAGTGTAACGAATATACCCCTGCGTATAACAGGGATCTCAGCCGCCCGGGCTGAGGGAGTTCTCCTTTAGCTCAGCTGGCAAGTTCCTAGTTGTTTGACGCCCGAGACCCGGGTTCGCGCCCAGGCTCTGAGGGAAGAACTGGCAGGTCAGGAGCGTCAAGGGCGGAAACACCAAGAACCGTCACAGTAAGAACAGGGCAAGCGCTGAAACAACACAGCAAGCACAAACAGTAGACGGTAACTGTTGAAAAGAAACTACAAGGTAGCAAATGCACAGCAGCTCATCTAATGAGAGAGCCCTGAGTGAAGACGTATTTAGAGGAAATTGAACTTATAATGAGATAATAAACTTATTAGATGCCTGCTGTGAATGTCTGCCACATGTGCATGTGGGACTGATCACCGGTGCCTGCTCGGGCATAACACCCTGTTTAAATGAATAAAAATAAAGGACCCAAAAACATTGTCACATACTGTAATTCGTCACAGAGTAAAGGCTGAAAACGAAAAAAGGCATAACCTTGTCATTGTAAGTTTATCATTTAAGGAATAGCATAGAAAAAGGTAAAACTATGTTAAAGAAAATAAACATAATTCAAAATAAAATGTAGCACAACAGCTGAAAAAAAGGCATCAAGCCATCCAAACGGCCCATTACTTTGACTTTGAGCTGACTCCAAAGCTGAGCTAAAATGTTTTAGTGAATGTATTCAGCTGTATATAGCTCAAGGTGTCTGCCGCAGGAAACTGATTTACTGATTATTTGTGCACGTTGAAAGAGGCATTTGGCAACATTCTCATGCCAGATAATCAGTCAATCAAAAACTCCAGGGAGACAGTACTTACAGCAAACTGACCTTGCTATTCCACTTAAAATTGTTCCCAAAGATTTCTAATAAACACATTTTATGCTGGATTTTAAACTCTGTATCAAAAACTAGTGTTCCAAACATGTGCAAAGTAATCTGTTATCAAAACACTATTGCACATTTCTTATCAATTAAAAGTCAGTGAAATAATTTCTAATGTTTTGGAGGAGACAGAGAAAAGTGAAAGTAATGAAGTTGCATCATGACTTTTTGCTTTTTATTTATTTTAAAAACTGTGTTTCTTAGTTCTATTACTTAAATGTGTAGTCTATGGAGAGTAATACTTTGATTATTTGGAATGACTATGCTATTCCATTTACAGTGAGGCACTTTGAGACAGAATTGTATTTTGAATTGCCCATTAAATGGAATGACTAACTGTTAAATTGAACATACAGTACTAATTTGCTGAGATGAAGAGTGGTGCATAATGATCATGCATATTAAATTGAACACTGAACAGATATTCATTGTTCTTGCTAATAATCTGACAGACCGAATCGGTGAAAATTAGCTGATCAATGAAAAATATTTTTTTGAAAAAATCATTCCAAATTAACATTTATGTACTTTACACATATTACAGAAGTTTAAACAGTTACCTTATCTTTCTTACATACAATATGATGGCCTTCATATTGTTTGGAAATGGCTTTGTAACTCTTCTCACACTGATAATAAAAAAACTTAAGATTTAAAACTTCTATATACAGTACTTTAAAGAACTACTAAGAAATCATAATATCATTAAAATGTTCAAAAAGTATATTAGAAAAAAATGATGTTTTGTTGCCTCTCTGCTTGTCACTCCACAGCCTAAGAGCACAATTCGTGGTTGATAGTGTACCGATAAACCAGTTCCATGGCAGTGCCACCAGTGAAGAGGCAGCCAGGGAGCTCAGCTTCTTCTTCCCCAAGGAACAGACCCTGGCTGTCATTAAACCAGATGCATTAAACGAACACAAAGGTAATGGCTATCTCCAGGACAGCAAGCGACAGAGCTCACAGCAACTGCTTGTACAGAGCCTTTCTATTAATTGTGTGTACCTATGGCTAGGTCTTCTTAGTTTATAAAAAATAATGTTAAAAAACATGGTTGTAAAAATGCATGTACTTTATATAAAGTAAGTACACCCCATTAAGAGCTTATGGTTTAATGTATTAGACATAGTAGTCCTCACTAAATCCTGATAGTAGATAAATCCTAATTTAACAGATAACTCACAAAAATTCTACTTTGTCATTATTTTAAAAAACTCTGCCAGGATTCAATATCTTTGTATGAAAAAGTAAGTACATCCCTTGATTCATTAACTTGAAGTATCTCCTTTAGCACCAATAACATGCATTAAACTTTTCCTGTAAGAGTCAGTCTCTCACCTCGCCTGGGTTGACTTCTGGCCCACCCTTCATTCAAGAACTGCTTCAACTCTGATAGCTTGGCATCCAGTTCCTGAGGTAGCAAAGCAGGCCTAAACCATCATCTTCACAATATGGTGCTTAATTGTTGGTATGAGGTACGTCTGGTTAAAGGGCCATGTTTGGTGTTCGCTAAATTTTGGATTATAGTCCTGATAATTCCAATTTTAAGTAATCTGTCCAGAACATATTGTCTGGACATATAACTCTGACATTTACCATAGTGAGAGAGGCCCATAGATCCATGCATGTAGCCCTGGAGTTATTTGGGAACCCCATGGATCTTGGAGAGAATTTGGAGAGTAGGACAGCCACTCCTGGTCAGATTGGTATTGATCTTGAATTTCCTCCATTTGTACATTATCTTTCTTATCATGGCATGAAACACTTCATATTGTTTGGAAATGTATTTTTAATTATTTAAGATTGATTAGCCACAACAATTCTTTCTCAGATCTGTCACAGATTTATTTTGATCTGGGCATTATGTGTTACCACAAACCTGAGTGCTTGTTTGTACCAAACACACAAAGTTTCTGATTTTATATACAGGTGGAAATTACTGAGGATCAACTAATCCTTTGCAAATGTTTTGCTGAACCTATTTCTACATACCCTCTCAATTGACATGGTAGAACTAAGGATGCAGTTACTTTTCAAAAAAAGATATTGAATGTATCAAATAAGGCTAGCTTTATCTACACTTAAGACTAGATCAGGATTAGTTTACAGTCACGTATGTCTAGATATGTTAAACAATAAACTCTTAAAGGGGTGTACTTACTTTTTCACCAAATTGCACTTGCATATAGACACTACATATATACATAAATACTTAAGGAAATGAGGGACACCCAGTCTATAAAATGCAGACACAGGTGTTGATTAAGCAAATAAAATCCCAACATGCCTAGAGTCATGTAGAAAAAGTCCTGACAGGACTGTTGCCTATAATTACAATTAGCATAGGTGCAATAGACCCCAATAACTTTGAAATAGTGGCGATTCATGGATTGCGTTTGACAGGAGCTTCAAGTTCAAGTTTATTTGTCATTCTAGCCATATACAGCATATGTCACGTACAGTTCTTTCCGGGCCCTATGCGGACGACACGATCCAGTAGGTGAGGAAACAATAGGGAAAATATCATGCAGGAGAAGGGTCTGGAGACAACGGGGTGTGTCCGGGGTCCGGGGCGAACAAACAAAGACGAATCTAAAATGGGGAATCCAAACAGAAGAGTACTCCGATGCCAGACGATCCATCCGAAGGAATTAAAATCCAAGAGCCGGGTCGGGACCGGCGGGGGGGAATCAGGAACAGGAGGTTAAAAGCATAACGGAGCCAGCCGCAGCAGGACCTTGGGGCTTTCACGAAACGGGATTCAATGAGAAGTGTCGGGGTGAGCCCTGCATCTGGCTTTTAAGGTGGGGCGAGAACTAAAACAGGTGCAGGTAATGGGGCAGAACAAGGAAGGGCTGGAGTGCCCTTAAGAGGGGGAGTAGCGATCGTGACAGTATACAGAGGAGCGAGATATCATTCTCCAGGTCTACAGTGCGAATACAGACCAGGCACTGACAAGACAATGCTATAGACAATGTAAATATAGACATTTCTGACAGGGTACAGGGTACATAAAGTGCAATGTGCATAGTGCAATTTACTTTAGAGGATTGTGCAAAGGATACATCAGACAGTATGCCTGACATTAGGCAAAAGTGTCCAGATTTGGAGTAAGTACAGTAGGTACCAGGAGCTTGTTGAGGAGCATGACAGCCTGTGGAAAAATACTGTTACGGAGCCTGGTGGAGCTGGCCAGTATATTGCAATACCTTTTCCTGCCATATTGCCAATTCGTTGCAGGGACTTGCAGTCTGAGACCTTACAATTCCCAAACGAAACAATGATACAGTTTGTCAAGATGCTCTCAATGGTACCTCTATAGAATAGGGATAGTGTGGGGAGGGGAAGGTTTGCCCTTCTCAGTTGCCGCAGGAAGTGGAGATGTTGTTGTGCTTTTTAAGCTAGGGAGGTGGTGTTGATGGTCCAAGTGAGGTCATCTGTGATATGCACACCAAGAAACTTAGTACTTCTAGCTGTCTCCACAGGGGAGCTGTTGATGTGCAGTGGAGAGTGATCAGCGTGGCCCCTCCTGAAGTCAATTATCATCTCTTTTGTCTTATTGACATTCAGAGACAGATTGTTGTTGAAACACCAGTCCGCTTGTTGCTCCACCGCCTCTCTGTATGGTTCCTCATCGTTGTTACTAATGAGGCCCACCACTGTCGTGTCATCAGCAAACTTGATGATGTAATTTGCACTGTGTTTAGTAGTGCAGTCATGAGTCATCAGCGTGAACAGGAGCAGGCTGAGTACACAGCCCTGGGGGGTTCTGGAGTTCAGTATGGTGGTACTAGGGATGTTGTTTTCAATCCGGACTGTCTGAGGTCTCTCAGTCAGAAAGTCCAGAATCCAGTTGCAGTCACAAACCGCACGTAGACACACAAGCGCCTCCACACTCTCCTTTTAGACCTCGCTCACTATTAGGCTTTCCTCGCCAAGCTGCTCTTCAACTGCTTTCTCCTGAAGATTACGTTTCTCTCGTCTGTCCCTACTGGCTTTTGACTCCTAGCTACTGTACTTGACCTCAGCCTTGCCTCTCATTTTGGATTAGTTTTTTATTTGGAATCCTATTTACCTCCTGATCGGACTTCACCGGAAACCGCAATACACAGGGTCCTACTAGCTCCAGCCTGCTGCTGCGTGACAGTTACAGAAGGAGGTCAATTTGGTCAGTGACCAAACCAGTTCAACTTACTGATATTTCACAAGCAACAGTGTCTAAGATGATGTTAGCATGGCAATCAAAGGGGAAGACATTAGCAGAAAGCAACATTGGTCAGAAGCATATACTCCTGTTGTATACTAATTGTAATTTGATAAGCAGTGCACAAACTGCTTATCAAACATGGCTGTGCACTTGCAAGTGCAGTGATGCAAAGAACACGGGATATGGACTAACAAGCAGTGGCAAAATACAGTATGATATGGTCAGTTGAATCCTTCACAATGTTCTTGACAGATGAGAACAGATGCAGTGTCAATCTAAAGACATCTCCTGAGTGCTTGGTTCCAAAACTGAAGGTTTCTGGTGCTTCTATAGTGTTGTAGGATGCATTTTTCTAGCATGGTTTGGGTGCAGTCGTTCCGTTAAAAGGCAAGGTCAGTGCTAACCACTACTCTGTGTTGCAGCTTTTTTTCCTGTCAGGATAACAATGCCCCCATCCACAGTGCATATATGGTCATGCAATGGTTTGATGAGCATGATACTGCTGTTATCCATATGTCATGGCCTTCTTAGTCACCACATCTAAACCAATAGATCATTTATGGGATATTCTGGAACAATGCTTGAGACAGCATTTTCTATTTACATTAACTTGGCGTGTGTTGAGTAACTTTCTCATGTAAGAATGGTGTCACATCTGTCTTGCACAATTCCTGCTACTCGTAGACTCTATGCCATGGTTCATACAGACCGTATTGTCTGCACGTAGTGGCCAAACAGCCTATTAAGTGACTGGACATCAGTGTTTCCATTTCTTTGTCTGATTTTCTAAAAGCCAGAATCTTCAAGGTTATGTCTCTCTTTTTTTGGAAAAAGTCTGTTCTACCATTATTTACACCTTATAAAACTATATCTGTAAAAATAATAATAAAGGTAAAATGTTGGCTGTATTGTAGGTCCTATATTTATCACTTTTAAAAATTTAGAAAACTAGTTTATCCAAATGTAGCTCAAAAGACACAAAAAGGGCACAAAAATGATTAAGTTAACATTATTGTTGCAAGTACTAGCAATAAATCCTGACTTTGTAGATTGCTGCACTGCTGTCATCAATCAGAGCTCTGCCTCTCCTGTCTGCCATCAATCCAGATCTCAGTGCTGCTGAATTTCATGTGCATGGTAATTGGTTTATTAGGAACTGTCTTAAAGTTTTGTTGGATAGTGAATCTAATGACCTCCCCTCTGTAAGACTAGGCTACTATTTGAAATACAGTACTTTTCCTCTGGGATGTGTCTGGTAAAGCTGTTAATCTGGCATAGCCTTTGTCTGCTGTGATGATTCCCATACTGCTCACATATAATGTGAGAACTGCATTAAGATACCAGGAGACAGAGCAGGCACCTGTAAGATCAACCATTTCAATCATATGCCTGTTCTCTGGAAGTCAAATGTGGTCTTCAGTTTCCATTCTTTTTTTTCAGAACTGGAAGAATCAACTGACTTGATCAGTGTCCATCATTGTAATTCATATACTGTATGTTTGAATTTTGCCTAGGCTAGAGATGTGCAGTAATGTAATAACCTCAGTTATTCTGTCCTTAGGCATGTAAATTAATAAATAACAATCAATCATGGATTCAGAATTTATGTGAATCATTTTTTAAAATCATTCTAAATCGTGAAGATTCACTTCTAAATTTCATGATCATTTTAAATTGAGCTGGATTAAATTTGACAGTTCTTTGAAGTACATTTTATTTAAAGATCACCTAATTTATTTGTGTGATTGATGAAATCATTAGTTTAAAATTACAATATAACTATGTAACCCCCGATATCTCCTTGGCGTAATTCATTTTCCAGATGAAATCTTAGGAAAAATTCAGGAGGAATGCTTCACAATCTCCCAGATGAAAGAGACCATGTTATCCAAAGAGATGGCTGAGGAGTTCTACAAAGAACACAGAGGCAAGCCTTTCTTTGAGCAGCTGGTTGACTTCATGTGTCGGTGAGTGTTGTAGCTAATGATCATGTTGGGGTTGCTGAACGTGTAAGGTCTTTGAAGACTCAATGCAATATGTGTCTATGGTATGCGCTGTATTTGAGAGTGCCTATACAGTATAATTAGCAATTGAGTTTTAATTTTTGGGTCTTGTGCTTCTAGACTTAAAGACTTCTGTTTTTAGAAAGACCAGAATGAGGTTTTGACCCTAAACTCTCAACAATTAGTTTATTATTTCCAATTTTGCCTTCTCTGGCAAACATCTCACAACAGCCAACAGCAGCTCAATTTGCATCTAATGAGCTCTTTGAAACTTTCCAATTGAGATTTAGACATGGTACTGAAACAGATAGGATACTTTAGTTCATTATTTTCTGATGGCTTCTGACTCTGGATCAAAAAGTATGTCATAGCCTTTCCACTAAAACAGATTTACTTGAATATCAACTGCTGTGGTTTCTGCACTTGACAGGTCCTTTTCTGATCTTAAAATATGGATGAAATTGTCACCAACTTTGTGATACTGCTGTTTGGATTTTACAAGAATAATTTCAGTTGTGTCACAATTATGCTCAAGAAATGTCAGAAAAGATTTTTTTTTCTACCTGTGTAATAGTGCTTGGTTAGGATCTGTGCTCTGGAAAGTCTTATTTAAATTGCCCTAGCCCCCAATGAAGCATAATACTATTAAAGTTAATTTAAGGTTCTCCTACTCGAGTGTAAGAAACTAAATAACATAGCTTTAGGTTTTCACAAGTGCTTATTACATGAATATACTGTAACTTAATTTAAGAAGATTCACATCTCTTACTCTGCTGAAGACTATGGGTGACAGAGCTTTCTCTTGACTAGCTTATTGTCCAAGTCCAGGCTGCTGCAACAGTTGCCATTTTTTTTAATTATACACTTGGCAGTTATTATTTTTTTATATTATACCACCTGCTTATCAGAAACCAGATTGTAAGAACCCTACAACCACAACACACCAGAGCTGAATGAAGGGCAGGAAGGAAGGTGTATACAGGGTCCTCCATAAACAGCTCTGCACTGGAGGTTCAGTATCAACTGGAGCAAAGGTGCATCCCTCATCTACAGCACCTCAAGCCTGCAATTCGCTGCAACACATGCAACTCGCATGGGTCACCGTGTAGCAGAGAACTGAGAGAGCTCTAACTGAATAATCCTACCCTACAATAATCCTAACATTATAGTGGCATTCAGCCTGTTGTGGGTACTCCTGAATTGGCAATCCCTAGTACAGTTGTCTAGTGATACACAAACTGTACTTGATGAGCCCATTAAACAGATGGTAACTCATGCACTTTTACAGCATGTTTACAGTAAGGGTGAAAATGTTAAAAAAACATAAAAAGTCTTTCTAGAGTTGTTTTTTATGCAAAATCTTAATTATTTACAAATTTGTTAAGAAATTCAAGTTCTTGGCAAGGTCATCCTGAGCTAAAAGAAATAAATCAATTTATACATTTGTAGGATTACGGAAGCTTATTAGTGTCATGGAGAAAAAAAATTCTCGTTTCTATAAGATTGTATTCCATTTATACAAAAACTTATCTCATTTATATGAGAAAATGATTGCGTTTATATGAGAAAAGTATCTCATTTACACAAGAAAATTATTGTGTTTATACAAGAAAATTGTAAAATTTAAATCCAGTAGTTAATTTGTAAACAATGTTGCCTACTATATCAATACTGTATATTGCATTGTAAATGTAAATGCAATAATATTAATAACAACATTACTTTATTAACCCTTTACAATTTCTTGCATTAGGAATTATCTTTTTTAGCATACCCCAGCTTGCTCTCCATGAGACACACAGACAGGGAGAGAGCCTGGGGTCAGAGCGCAGGGTCTGCCATTGTACAGCCAGCGCCCCTAGAGCAGTTGGGGTTAAGGGCCTTGCTCAGGAGCCCAATGGAGTAGGATTCCTCTGCTGGCTGCGGGATTTGAACTGGCAACCTTCTAGCCACAGGTGCAGATCCTTAGCCACAGAGCCGCCACAGAGCAACCGCTCCGCCCCAGTAATATTGTCCTGTGCAAAGTAGCATTGATAACAGTAGATTACCGTCACATTCCTCTTTTTGGAAAAAACATAATCCAAAGGAGCATGTATTCTTTTGTATACATGAAGCACAGTGTCAGTAAGCATTCCCAGGTTAAACAAGTGTATTTGTTGCTGTTTCTGTGACAAGTAGAAATGACACGGCTTTCCAAACGTACAGTATGTTTTTTTGTGAAGCTGATTGTCAAGTCATCGGAAATGTATTCCGTTCAATGTTTAAAGAGTCTGCAAAAACCCATCTACAGTACATGTTTCTGCAGCTTCACATCAAGAAAAACACGTTTGGAATGCCCTGGTATTTCTACTTGTCACAGAAACGGCATAAACAATACCCTCTTAACTTGTGATTGCTTACTGACACAGTATACAAAACTGACATGAAAACAAAAGACAGAACCCGTTCTCCTTTAGATTATTTATTTCCCAAAAAGAGGAGTGTGACGATATTCTATTGTTCTTACTGCTCTTAAAGTCACTCTTACTATGCATGGGGCAATATTATTCATTGTTCACAAATTAACTATTGGGTTTAAATGCAATAATTTTCTCCTATAAAAAAGATACTTTTCTCATATGAACGCAATTTGAATAAACAAGGCTTTTAGTCTCCGTGGTACTAATAAGCTTCAGTATAGGATCTATATTTGTCTTGTGCATAAAATTTCCATTCACAGTGAAGATTGTTATATAAGTTTGGCACAATATACTGTGGAAGTTTGGCATTTTCATTTAAAGTTCTGTCTTCTAATGGCTTTCTTTAATTGGAACTGCCAACCAAGATTAAATGAATTTCTGCTTGAAGAGATAGCTATTGTAATTAATACCAGCACCTTTAAAGATATAGCGCACCATATAAAATCCAGTCTGCTGCAGGACAACAATGTGTAACACACAAGAGTTTTGGAAAACATTTTTTCATCTGTCGAATCTTGTCTCAAGCTTGTTAAAAACAGGGCAATGAAATTTATACCACTGTGCTATTAAAATATTACATCTTATGCATAATATTTTCTGCTTCTTTTCTTTGATGAATGATGTTATCATGTGGGCTTGTTACAATTCTTTGGTCATTCAGTCATTTGAAAGTGATAAACTATACTACATATATCTTTAAATTTAAATTGAAAGGCCACTTGGCACAAAATGTATTCAATTTATTACAACCCAAATATTCTATAGCTGTTTATTTTATAGCTAAATATTCTATAACTTTTATCATGTCAATTCACCTGTACAAAAAATAATAATGTGCAGTACAAAGTGAACATAGTGAGAACAGAAGCATGTTGCAATAAGGCACTCACTTAAGAGCATAAAACTAGGTTTGGTTTTTCCAAAAAGTCTTCTGTTGTGTGTGCACCCCAGAGGTCCATGCTTGGTGATGATTCTGAGCAAAGAGAATGCAGTGGAGGAATGGAGGGCCATGATGGGTCCCACAGACCCGAGGGAAGCCCAGCAGACAGCACCGAACTCACTGAGGGCTCGCTTTGCCAAAGACATACTGCAGAACTCTGTCCATGGCTCCTCCAACCAGAAACATGCAAATGAAAAGATAAACTTCTTCTTTGGCGACATCACAGAGGAGCTGGACAGACCCCTCCAAGGTAGTTCCAATGGATACTATCCATGTTTCCTTTCAGTCTCGTAAATACAATCCTAATATTTAATGTACATAGCAATTAAACTGCATTTTAAAAAGTAGCACTACAGGCAGTATACAGGCATTTTTTCTGCAAATTTAAGACTTATTCCTAACATTTCTGGATTTTATTAGAAACAAGAATGTGCTAAAAATGGAGAAATATGCTAACAAGTTCTAAAGTCTGTTTAGAAATGCCAATTATTTTTTGTAATAGCCACCTAATTTAGAATAGCCAGTAGTGTTCTCAACTCACACATAAGAGTCAAACTTTCTAATACATCACAGGTTATAAAGCTCTGTAGCATACAATTACCAAGGAAGCTGCAGGGCTCACTTATCTCACCCTGCCTTCGCCAGTAAGCAGCCAATTGTGCACCATTGCTTTAAGAAACCTGGGCACAGTCTGCTAATGACATTATCCAGGTTTGTAACCTGTGATCATAGAGCTGAACATGCGCTTGAGTGAATGCCTTTACTTGTTGAGCAGGTTAGAAGCCTCCTGTATATTAATCTTGTCTGATCTGTAGTTTAGCATTTCCTCACTGTAAATCCTCACCTACTATGTATTGACATGTCCACCTGACTTTACTTTTCTTATTCAGTCCACATTAAGAGAAAATGCTATTACCAATTATATTCAACCATTTTTTAGGTTAGGTGGCACTGGCAGATTCTGTTTTCTCCTTTTGTCGTTATTTCTTTCCAGGCAAAGAACCTGAACTTGAGAGAGTGGATCATTTGGAAAAAGCCCTATGGAATGGTAATCTAAACCTAAGGATAGTGTAATATTTTTTATATCCTACTTTGGAATAACAAAAGATGAAGGACAACTGAGCACACATTAAATACAATTATGTCTACATGAACTAGTCAAAATTAATGCAAGACTTCATCTGCACATTCTTGAATCATCTTTGGAACCAACTTTTAAGTGAATGTTCATTGCAGTTCAGAAGTAAAAGAATTTTAAGCAAGAATGTTTAGGTAAAGTAGGCTTATATACTTGAAATTGGTGAAGCTGAAACCATTTTCTAAGGATCTGCCTAGACAGCTATAGTGAACAGGGGAATGGACCCTGTGCAGGTACCAACAGACAGATTTCTAAACACACACCAAAATACTAAATCTTTACTCAAAGTCCAGAAACAGGCCAAATTCAGGAACCAAGAAGGCATTCCAAAGAGAAACAAAACACAAGAAGGAAAAGGAAACTAGGAGTAACTCGGAGAAAATAATGAGAAAAAAATAACAAGAAAATAAACAAGGACTAAAATAGAACAGGAGTAAGATAAGACAGGACACAAGGTTCTCGAAAAACCAGGTAAGTGAGATCCCAAGCTCTAACCACAGCACTGAAGGGAATGAGAACATAGTTTATATAGAGCTGAGGGAGGGAGGCATGGAGCCTGAGGTACACTGGTCAGCTCATGATTGGTTACAGGCGTCTGCATGGTCTGCACCTCTGCTGCGCTGCACAGCCTTGCCAGTAGCCAGTTCTTGAGGTCTCTCTGACGGATAGAAGATGGAATCATAACACATTTAAGCTTTGTCAAGATTAACTGTTTTAGGTTACATTTCTGTTTTGTTATTTGAAGGTGCAGAGGACAGAGATGAACCAATGCCCACAGAGGATAAAGAGCAGCCTCAGGACACCATGAGCCACAGTGAAGAAGGTCAGAACAGTGGTTCTCTAAATAATCTTTTTTCAGCCAAATGTATGCATTGTCAATCTTTGAAAGAATTGACATATGTTATATTTTAATCAATATAATCAACCTTTAATTAAATTTTTATTCAAGTCCTTGCTGTTTTCCATTCTGTCTCATACTGCTTTTCATACAGGGTGGTAATCAATATTATAATTATAACCATAAAATTAAAACATAATCGATAATGACTGGTCATTTTGATATCATTACCCTGCTTGACTGATAGGAGCAGAGACTACAGAGCAAACACATATTCCTACCGAGAAGGATGCAAAAGATGAGGAGGCACTGGTTCCTCCTGTCACTGACACTGAGAATGGTAAGAAATTGTATTAGAATATGATTTTTTTTACATTACAGCAGTATCAGTGGTTGTGATCGAGGGTGATTTTCTTGATGTTAGCCCTTCAGCGTAATTAGCACATGTAAATATGGTATTTACAGTATCTACAAAATGTTAGGGCAACATTTTATCTCACTATTTCTACAGTAAATTTTCGCAACTTAGTTCCAACTAACAACAGCTATCTCTAGACCATGAAAATATACAGTGTTTAGCTGGGTAGATTTTATTGAATGGAACACAATCAAGCATTATATAATAAAAGTTCAAATATTAACATCAACCACTCAATATAATTGATAGTATTAAGATCCTGTGCTGTTTCTGCTGTTTTTTTGGAGCTCACTACTGAATTATTATAAATATAACATTGCCTGATGATTGGAGTTTTGATTGTCTAATAAATTCAAAATTTATTAAAATTTATCAGAAAAGGACACTCCCCCTCCCCCCCCCCAATAAACCTCTCTATTCTCTTTCTATTCTAAAAACAAACAGGAAATGTTAGAAATTAACACCAGAGTTAATATCCCTAGCTTTACCAACAGTGCCTCAGGGATCTTTAATGACCAGGCACTCAGGACTGCTGTCATTGTGAGATGCTTAACATCTTGTTCAAAGCATTGCACCTCTTATTGCATGGTATATCTGGTCACCATATGGGTTTATAGTTTGGAAGCTCTGGTACAAAGATAAGAATGTCATCTACTGGTCCACCAACACCAATTACAACAGTAGCTTAGTTTTTGTATAGGTCCATCATTCCAGACCAGTAATGCTTAGCTTTTGGGAGCTGACAAGATCAGGTTAGAAAATGTTAATGGCTATTTTTATACTGCTAATAAATTATATATATATATGTGGTTAATGCTTTAATGTTTTATGATATATTGCCCAGTAGCCCTTTAAAAAAACTATGCAAGTAACCCTTCTGCCATTGCATGAATGCTGACATTTCAAATCAAGCTCACACCAAATCTCTTTTTATATTATAGGTACAAAACAATCTTAACAATAAGATCCTAAAACACCACAACCTTCATACTGAAACTGTGCTGTTAAAGCGATATTTTAATCATCCAGACACTTTTTTGAATGCATTATTCTGCTTTTGATAAGTTAGTTTTAGGAAATCCAAGGTCCCAACCCACACAGAGACATTTCAGATTTTTTTTTACTACCAATGGGAATTTTAAGTATTAAGTTTAAATCATTATATGCCAGTCTTTGATGATTTTGCCCCTGAAATGACTATATCTGTATTCAAAGTACATTAAAAGAGCTATAATCAGAATGAATAAGCAGAATAATCTTATGATGACCAGCTGATGAATGTACTTTAATTACAAATGTATTTTGAAATGTGAATGCCACTCTTGAGATTGACAGCTTGAGCCTGTCTTTGAAAGAAAAGGGAGCAAATCAGCCAAATATTCTCTTACATTTTTAATAACCTCCAGCTCTGGGAAACATTTTAATAGTTCCTTTTGTCATTTAAAGTTGTCAATATTAAACACTTAATGGAAAATATTTGAGGGTTCTTTTTATTAAAGGTAAAATCAGTACTGAACTTAAAAATTTAGTTTTATGCACAGTATTTTAACAAGGAAATGCAGATATATTGCTGATCATAAGTACAGTATGACAAGACAACTTCAGTACTATAATTATATTATATTCCTCAAATATTGCTTCACTGTACATTATTTTGGATATAATAGGAACTGACATTATTTTGGTCTCAATGTAAAACAAAATTTTATAAGTATATCAGAATTCACTTACATACAGTAGAGCTGATTCTATAAACAAGGTTTAATTTTATTATGCAGTCACATTCTTTATATATCAAAGCATGGAATTGGAACAAAAATTTAACAAAGTAATTGAACTAAGTGAAACAATCTAGTAAAGGCTGAAACATTTTTAGCTTTACCGCAGTATATGGTGGAACCAAAAATCCTATTGTCCTATAATTGAAATCTTGCCACCCTCTGTAATGGAATCAAAAAGGCTGTGTTACACTGTTTATGGATTGGCAAGTGCCACTTACTGAATTATTTCCTTTCACTTGAATTCAATGAGAATGCTGAAAATCATTTAAACTCTTGAAAATCATAAATATACAATTACATAAATGAGAATAAAAAATGCAAAAAAGTTTAGTATGTTTTAGAACTTGGTAATTAGATTCTACTCCCAAAAAACTACTAAAGAAATATGGTAAATACAGTAATGGGCAATCCAACACTCACAAAATAATATTAAAACAGTTTTAATATGGTAACTATCTAAATACTTTATTTTTTTCATTTGTACAACCAGGTTCTCAGTAACTCAGGTTACCATCTAATGTTTTGCCTTCTTTGATTTGATAGGGTAGGTAAGTGGGGTCTTCCCTTTAGTGCTTTTAACTGCCTCCTTTCCCAGCTTAGTGCTTTTAGTCTTCTTGTATGCACTCTTTTTGAGTCCCTGCGCCACATATCTGCGTTCCTCAATGATGGCCTCTTGCTTTTCAAAAGGCAAACGGCTCTGCACCTGAACTCTGTTACTCTTAGACAGAATCCTGTAGCCCTCACAGAAGCACCAGCTGATGATTATTCCCAACGTCACTGTGATAACCAGGGTACAGAATATAAAGACAACAATAAATCCGCCAATACTCCATACATCTTGGAATCCTTCATCTGATAGTTTTGCGAAGAGACGGTTGTACAGGTATTTGATTTCTGTTGGTAGCATTGCTGAGTTGATGTCTTTTCTTCATATGTCTAATGAAACAACAATAGTTTTTCATTGAAGTAGCACAATTAGTGATGGCTTATCTGAAGGTACTACAGAAAAAGCATCAAACATAAAAAAATCTATGTCATTTGGAAGAATTTACAAATCCTGGTTATATAGGTTTTAAAGTAGGAAAATCTGGTTTAATTGGCTTAGGGTCCATGCATTTTCCATGTGTTTTATATTAAAGTGCATTTGAAGTGTAATAGGCATTTGATAATTAATAATGTATTGTACTTGATGCCTTTCTCTAAGCTTACTTACATTTGAAACAACTACTGAAATGTAAAAATTAACACAGAACACAACATTTAAAGTGGTATAATACACAAATTCATATTTCAACAAAATATAATAAAGTGAAACAATACAAGATACAGAAATAACAGCAGATCTAGGTTTTACTGAACAAAATTAACAAGTAGGAAAATACAAGTGTAAAACTTAGAGCTAATTGCATTTCGTGAACCAAATTTTTGCCATTTCCCTGAGATCTTCCAAGGTACTTCATGTGAGTTCAGAAGCAGCTCCTTGTGCCAGTATTTTAATAGTTTACTGGAAATGGTAAGATATTGTGGTTAGATGGCTACGCTTTCAAAACCATTAAACATAATTACTTAGGTATTTTGTCATTTATTCTTTAATCTCTTACTGTATATAAATTGTAAAAGTAATCCAAAATATTATTATTATTATTATTATTATTATTATTATTATTATTATTATTATTATTATTGTTGTTATTGTTACAGGAAGAGTAGGCACATAAATATATATTAAATATCCCAGCTGCCTTTCAAAGGGTGCTGGAGATCAAATTTGCAGTTTCGGTAGTCTGATGTTGGTCTTAAATGTGATTGACATTTTATGTGCAAAGGTGACACAAAAAAAATGTCAGGCATACTTAAGATATTTATTAACGGGATAACGAGTAATACAATCTTATTATATTCCTTTTTACATGATTGCTATTGCATGGTTACACTTACTTGATTTTTGCAGTAATTTTGCAATAATGGTTAATTTCTCAATTTGTCAAGGGCGAGCCTGCTGAATTTTATCAGACATGTCAGCGTAGATACCTAAATCTGACAAAATATTATTTTTTTAGTAAGGGTAGGCACAACAGCTCAAATTTGAATGTTCGCAATACGTACTTTTTCAAGCAAAGCTATTTTCTAATTAGAATTTATATAGTTGAATTGTATACAGCTGTTCAGACAATGTTATTATCAATAAAACTGTCTTTTAAAAAATGAATTTAAAATGGTAAATAGTTTTAAAAGTTGATATTGTTTAATCTTAAGAACATAATATAGAAATAATTTCGGTTGTTAAATACGGGTGAAGCAATGACTACGTACAGTACGTGAATTAGAAAATATTCGTAATAAAACAGAGAATGAGCGTATTCCAGCCAAACACAACTTTAAGTTAGATAACTAATTTCGCACAATTAGATATGCAGGCAAAACACTTATCCAAAATGTACCTCGCAGCGTCTTAGTTAGACCCCCGACAAAACCGGTCACTGTTTGAATGTCATTTTTCGAACCCTCACGTGCCACCGCGAGTCCTCTGTGGTATCCGTGACAACAGGCGCATACTGTAATTCGAACGCCCGCTGGAAAAGACTGGTCACGCGGTGTGACGAGTTGAATTCAAGATTTCTTTATTTTTCTAATGGTGGACAGGCTCGTCTAAAACTTGTGTCTCCAACCTTGACATGAAACAGTCATTCATTTTCATGAGTCTTGAGCGAAATATTAAATATAATAATTTTGAAACGTCAGTTTGGTGTTTTCTATTTTACAATTAAATTTTATTTCCATACTGTATATTACGTATACATAAGATCAGAATTTGTATGAATTACATACAAAGATAAAAAAACATAAACTAATCAATATAATATACAGAAATAAACATTTTTATTGCATTTTTTATTGAAGCAGCCTTTCTTAATAAAAAGAACAATGAATTTGATTTACTTTTGAAAAAAGATCCTCTCTATTCAAAAGTAAGGAATATTTGCAGAATTTCCTAAGCTTTTAATCTATGGTTTCAAAATGTCTTCTTGTACTTCCTTCCATCCATCGGGAGCCCTGGGATCAATTCTGGACCTTGGATGCTATGCGCGTGGAGTTTGTATGTTCTCTCTGTGTTCACATGGGTTTTCATTGGGTGTTTCAGTTTCTTCCCACATTCCATTGATAGGGCTTGTGGAAAACCAGACCCTGGTGTACATGTGTGTGTCTGTGTTTGTGTCTGTGTCTGTGTCTGTGTGTGGCCTCTGTTGCACTGCTGTCCTGTGCAGGCTGAAAGTATACCAGGGTATGGTTTCAGAGGTGTTGATAAGCTTGTGATTTTTATTATCTGCTAGGCCCTGTAAGGCAATCGCAGTATAGTTTTATATAATCAAAAATTGGAAAGTTTATTCTTGACCCCAAGGGGGTCAATCAAACTGATTATACTGTATACAGGGGACAGCCACTACCAGTTATATTGCTCCCTGTAAGTCTTGGACAGAGTATAGACTGATTCACTGAAAATACATGTTTTGTGTGAATTCTTTTGTTACTGCAATATCAAAAATAAAAAGGGTATTGCCAGTAAGTAATTAATGACTATGAATAGAATACAAAAATAGGAGAAAGCCATGCCATGTCTTCTATCATTGTGTGAAGCTTTCTGTTGAATGCCAAACCTTTATAGTATAGTTACAGTGTGTGGATAATCTAGAATGTCTATGAGGTATTCCCATATAAATCAAATCTTGAAGTCTGTGAAAGAGCAGACATTTTTCAAGCAGACAATAAGATAAAGGAGCGACAGGGTTAAACGAGACAGCATTCACAAAACAAAGCAGAGAAATAAAAAAAAAAGTTTTTCAAAGCCAGTCTCCCACAGACCTTTCATGCTGTTTTCGGTAGTGATCTTAATAAAGGTTGCTTTCATTTCCACAGACATTTTTGGGTTTAATCTATCCCAGTAGCTTAAAGGGAGCAAAATCTTGAAATTAAAAAGATTCAAACAAGAAAGCACATTCATATTTATTAGAGATGCTAGCCTGAAGAGAACTGGCAAATTGAATTGAGACGTTCAGTGTCAGTGTTAAAACTGTTACAAGTTGTGGCAGCATGTGAAGAAGAATACAACTGGACCTCAAGGTTTCAGTGACATAGTTTCAGGGAGGTTCTGTGCACTGCACAAATTAATTGATATAAAGATGACTTTGTCAGCATTGATTTTATACCCCATCAGATCACCAAAATCATTAAAAATAGTAAGCAAACAACTCCGAAGTTGAGCTATCTACATAACCAGGTATACCTCATTTCACCCTCATTTTAATGCCCTGTGTATGTTTATTATCATATAAAATTATTACCTTACCACAAATGGATGCTTTTAACTGAGGTTTCGGAGGGATAACAACAAGCCAATCTTGCCCAGCTGTTTTATACTGCAGTCATTACTGTGATTCATCATTCATCATCATTGCAACCATTCTTTTGATATATATAACTTTTGTGCATTTTTTGTACTTATTACATGGACTGTGATTCAAAGAACAAGTGGGAAAGAAAAAACAGGATGGAAC